TTTTAAACAAGAAATGACGTTTCGGAAAAGTAGACTCCAAACTTAATATATGATTACCTACTTGAAAATTATTAAAAAATAAAATAAAAACGTTGTAATTACATTATTTTATACATTTATTATATATTTTTACATGTTATCTTTAATCTTATATATCTCTTAATATGTACAAAAGAATCTTCTGATTTTGACCAACTTAAACGAATAAAAGAAACAAGGTAAAAGTAATCACCGATAACTTCGACTTATTCTATAAAATGATACTTCCCAACAAAGTTCGGGTATGTCAATTAAAAAATCAGTAAAAACTAACATATGTCTATTTAGAGAATAACTTAATCCTAATCTTTCTTGTACGATTCAATGACAGACAATAAAGATTGACATAAAATACAAAAAATTGATTCAAAAAGTCATTACAAAACAGTATTGTCCGCTAAATTGTTTACTGTCGATTTGTTATTTAAAAATTTCTAAAAAGATAGCTCAAGAAAAACTTCAATATATCGAAAAATTAACTAACGTTAATAATCCAATCAAACGCGCTTGCAAACAGAAACTGTCACTTCAGCTCCACCTACTGCATGTAGTAGATGAAATTCATATATTGTTCGATAGAGTTCGGTATTCTATAGTCAGAGGAAATACGGGTATGTCGATTTTCCACATCTATGTCAGTTTTAGTGCTTTTCCCTCCACTGGAAAAATGGTTCTCCTGACTATGAATTATTTCACGTACGCGATCATAGTTACAAATACCAAAAATGTTTTCTCAACGCATATTTAATAATTAATATCTCAGATTGTCGGCGCGTGTGTGTGTATGTGTGTGTGTGTGATTATTTTGCGAATCTGGCGCAGAAGAAATTTACCGCTCACTAACGCTGGTCATAGCAGTGGGGAGGCTCTTCAATATTGAAGCATACGCTATCTGTTTACGTTTGCTTAACACGCTGATAATGATCGGCTAAACAGCCGACCGGGAGGATCGTAACTAATTTAACTTACGGACATCGTAATCGACTCGATCTCTGAACGCACTTGGAACCGGTCGGCCTTCCTTCGGAAATGGTTCCGCGGCGATGCGACTCGCTTCAGCAGGCGAAACGGAGGAAACAAAAGGTGAAAGGGGCGAAGAAACGGCGGAGTGGCGAGAAGAGGAGAGGAGACGCGCTTATTTATATACGCACGCGAATTCCGCGCGCGAGGCGATTCCGTCGAGTTCGCGAAAAAAGAATAGCGCAGAAATTAATGATAAAAGCATAAGAGTGTAGAGCTGAAGGAGTGACGTTGCCGGGTTGCGTGTCGCGTGTCGAACGGCCGCAACGGGACGGTCGGCAGAAATAAACTATCCCGATGAATCAGAAACGCCCCGACATTCGCCGGACCCTTTTCGATCTTTATTGCGGAACAGATGCAGCGCGCGCCTGGTGCCAATTCCTCGTGGCGACGGCGTCGACGCCGTCGACGGCAGATTGGTTAACGCACCTAACGAAACTCGCCGTCGGACGGCGGCGCCTTATTATTCGTCAGCTTGAAAACAGACGCAGAAATCTGATCTACTCGTGCTGCCAGAAATTTTCAAATCGCAAAATGATCGTGCAATATCCGCCGGTGATACGAAGTGACAAATAGGTGAAATCAAACGGGTAGCTGATCCATCTCAGAGTGCCTATGAATTATCGTTGAAGTTTGGTGTTAGCAAACAAACAATATTAACTCATTTAGCTCAAATCGGTAAAGTGAAAAAAGTTGGATAAGTGGGTTCCACATGAACTGAATGAAAAACAAGAACAAAAGCGTTTGGAAGCTTGCTTGATGTTGCTTTCTCGTCACAAATCTGATCCATTTTTGAATCGAATTGTCACTTGTGATGAGAAATGGATCCAATATGACAATCGCAAACGTTCAGCACAGTGGTTGGACAAGGATGAATCACCAAAACACACTCCAAAGCGCAATATTCATGAAAAGAAGCTGATGGTGAGTGTTTGGTGGTCTAGCGCAGGTGTGAGCCATTATGATTTCATGAAACCTGGCTCATCGATCACAGCGGAAATATACTGCAACCAACTGGACGAAATGATGTAAAAACTTAAAGAAAAACAGCCTAGATTGGTCAACAGATCGACTCCTATCTTATTGCATGATAACGCTAGACCACGCACTGCACAAATGACTGTGGCAAAACTACAGGAATTGGAGTTGGAACTTCTTCATCATTCTCCATATTCACCAGACCTAGCCCCCACTGACTACTACTTCTTCCGCAATTTGGACAACTTTTTAATAGGAAAACAATTTAATTCCGACAATGCTGTAAAACTGGCCTTCCAGGAATTCATTGACTCTCGTCCGCCAGGGTTTTATACTACCGGCCTGAACAACCTGCCGCTTAAATGGCAAAAGTGTATAGACAATATGGGTGCATACTTTGATGAATAAAAGAATTCCTTATATTTGTAAATTATTAACCAACTTTGCCTTTTTTTCTACAAATTTCATCCTTGACGACCTGATAATAAAAGAGCAATATACATCGTAAAACTTTTATGGTTTGAAAATATACAAGATTAAAAAAACATAAGGGTATATATAATAAATGTGCAAAATAATGTAATTTAAGTGATTTTATTTTATTTCAATGATTTCTCACAGGTATCATAGAGATGTCGGTTTCGAGGCCTAGTTTCTAGAAGCGTTAATCCTCAAACATCTTGAAAAATATTAGGTGTTCCGGTTAGTTTTGAGGACTCACTGTAGATGGCTACAGCTACAAATTTATTTGACACATTTTGAAAGTTGGTGAGTCATTTCAAAGCTTGTACATTTCTACAAATCCTTTAACACAGGTCCTGTGTTTTCGTAAACATAACCGTGCTGTTTGATGCAATTGAAAATGGAATATGATAAGGAGCATTTTCTTCATCTGTTACTTTACTATTTTGATTCGAAGAAAACGGCTATCGAAGCTCACCGATTCATCTCATAAATTTATTCTGAATCTGCTCAATCAATGTGAGTACTGATATCGACGATTTAAAAGTGGTGATTTCGATTTGAAAGACAAAGAACGTTCAGGTCAACTGAAAAAGTTCGACGATGTCGAATTGCAGGCATTGTTGGATGAAAACTTAGCTCAAACGCTTGAAAAATTAGCTAAAGTATTAAATGTTGGTAAATCAACCGTTTCTGATCGTTTACGCGCATCGGGAAAGATTCAAAAAGAAATCAAATGGGTTCCACACAAATTGTCAGAATTTTGCAAAAAATCCCTCAAAACTAACCAGGACACCTAATAGTTATTTGCAATGAAATATGTAGTAATTTTCATAAGGCTATATTTTGGTAGAGAGAGTTGCTGGTTTGCGTCTATTTGTGCATAAATTTTCATTGTATACTTTCCACGAAGTTTTACAGCCCGAGAATAAAATGGCAATGGCCCGGGAATAAAATCGGTTTTGGTGCTTTTCCTCTATATTATTCAACGTGCGTCCGTTGATGTATCTTTCAACGGTCTGAGTTGTAGCGCAACTACCATTGCGGCGTCTCGATTCGAGAAGCCGTGGAAAAGAGATCTGTCGCGATGCTATACATAGTGCATCCTGATTTGCTTCTCAAAGTGTTGAATAGCACCGCGGCTGTGCGCCGATTGTAAGATCGCACGAGCGAGTGAGCGAACGAACGAGCAAACGCCTTTTGATCGCGATCGCGTATGTTTGCGCACCAGTCGACATTTTTCCTACGATATCTGTGTAAATATTAGCATTATCTGTAAAGTGCCTTGTGCCATTGATATATCTTGCAGCGTTCTGCAGTTCACGCTTCGCATGCAAATAGAACACCTCTTTCGTTTCACGTGTATATATTTAAGAGAGAATTTTAGATTCTCATTTCGAAGCGCGCGCGCGCGCGCACAGATCTGTACTCTCTCTCTCTCTCTCTCTCTCTTTCGAGTGTCCTTTCACGTCCTCTCGAATTTCAATGCAGACGCAAATGCAGCCACGAAATGCGACTTCGCGTATATTCGTGCCGCACGTGGAGAAATATCATTCTCTCTCTCTCTCTTTCTCTCTCGCTCTCGCTAGCCGGAATTTTATTCGTCGCGCGTCCACCGTGATACACCGGGCGCACATTTCACTCGTCTCGTCGGTCGCGTTACGCGAAGGAACGCGTTTTCGCAATTTCACGCTTTGTGTCCATTATACACGCGCCCTCAGCACGTGATCTCTCTCTCTCTCTCTCTCTGCAGAGGATGTGGATTGCGCACGGTAAACCCCCGGTAAACAAAATTCGTGAACGTTCGTGTGCGCAGGCAACGCCGCAATTGTTAAAACAGAGCGCGCGCCTTGAATACACCTCGTTACCTACAGAAATCCTCCAATGTGAGGCTAAAAATAAAAACAAGAGCCGACGGACCCCGGAGATAAGGCGCAGTCATAATAATGCCTTCAAATTAATGCAGGCTACTGCATAGTGAGAACGACGGAAAGTGCGCGCGACGCCGCCGTTCAGCCGGCGCGATATTAGCAGCGAGAGAAGATGCTCGGCGCGAGCCGAACGTATCTCCGCGAGAGCGACGCGAACGACGATGACATCATCGACGACGCATGCGCATTAATGGCCGCGCTTCGAGCCACGGCCGTAGCAGCGCGCGACGACTTACAGAATTAGCGAACAGCCGAATTTCGCTGGTAACTTCCAATCCTACACTCACCGCCTCCTTCCATCGCGTTCTTCGTGTACACCGAGAGTAAAATATTCGACGTTTTGCAGCTATAATCACTACAGTGAGAGAATTATATTCAGGAGAACGATTTACTATAGTCAGTGGTAATAAGCTTCCATGCGTATTGTTACTATTACTATTGCGGTTGAAATCGTAAAAAAGATATAATTGAGTCCAAAAATAAGTCTGTAATCTCTCTCTTGGTATATCGACGACGCCGATGCGACGATCGATAGATTTCGCCCGTCGGCGACAATTGGAAACGCGCAGAACGTCCCGACGACTCGTCTGCCCGCGTACGATACCCGCGAGCGATGGAGGGACCATTCGAGGAGATTCGATCGAAGGTCGAACTGGAGATCTCCGAATGAAAAGCTGTAGACCTCGCCGTTGCGTAAGAACGGCCGACTCGATAAGAAGGGATGCATGCGTGCGATAATGTGGTTATTGATGACGATAAGATGCGGCCAATATGTTTTCCGACGGTCTCGGCGGCGACGCTCCGTCATCGCGTCCGCTCTGACACCGGCGAGATGTAAGGCGGATATTTATCAGGTAGTCAGATCTTACATTCGAGATTGTCTCAGCTTCGTTTTCAGATATCGCATTGATTGTTTCATCGGCTACAAAGCATCCGAAGATGAATTCGAGGCGATCTTAAGTCCCGATTTTCGGTATATATTTTAAACCTCGAGATTCGAGAAACTGACCGAGTTGAATGTGAGGAGGATCGCGACCGGTCAGTTTCTCAAGGTTTAAGCCTTCAAACACTATTGACCGGGATTAAAATACGAGCGTCGGTCGTACAGTCTCCACGTCGAGGGGGGCGTCGGGGCCGCCGAACGGCTAACTACGCTAGTGGTGGCCGCGCAGGTGATTACGACGATGACGTGCCGCGAGACGGCGTCGCGTTGTGTCGCGTCGCGCCACCGGCACGCGTACGAGTCTCGCGCCAGTCGTCGCCGCGTATCGCTCGAGATCGGCACGTTGAACGTCGCGTACGCGCACGAGACAACGCGAGACGTCGCGCGAAAAGCACGAGATAACGATCCGCGAGTCGGCGCGCGCCTTCTTACCGCGGCCTTCGCTTGTCTCTCTTCCTCTTGCGGCTGGCAGCAGCGGTCACGGCGCGCGCGTGCACAGCGTTGCGCAGCGGATACCAGACGCTCATTGGACAAGGGTACGCTGGGAAATACGCGCGCGATTAGAAGCAGCGGAGAGGAGAAGCGGGCGCGGAAATTCCAGAAAACGGGACAAGCAGTTTCCTCGGCTGCGGACTGAGAACGGAGAGACAGAGAAAAAGGAAGAAAGAGAAAAACGCCAGAAAAAAAGAGAGAGAGAGAGAGAGATACAAAGGCCGATGATGCGGCGGTGGTGATATCGAGTCGCCGGCTCGACAAAAATTGCGACCTGAGATAAAGAGCTCGCGAGTGTACGCCCGGTATTGGAGCCGCGTGTGTACAGATTCTTTCTCTCTCTCTCTCTCTCTCTCTCTCTCTCTCGCACGTCAGACTTTATTCCGATCGCGAGTGTTCCTCGGGGTGCGAAGTGCGCCGTGTGCGCAAATGTGCAATCGTGTGCGTGCGGGGCCGAATCGTTCGCGGAATCGCAAACGAGGCCCGTCCGTCTGACATCTTGGAGAGAAATCGTCGTGGTGTCGCGCAACCAATTTTCGAGCAATTCGCATCGCTCGGCTGCCAAGAGGTCTGCCGGAGACTTGCCGAAATTGTTTTCGCGCTCGCACTTGGCACGTAATTTCGCGCGACTGCGAGAGATGCAAGCGAGAAAGTGAGAGTGAGATAGGGGGAGAAAAAAGAAAGAGCGAGAGAGAAACAAGAAAGAGAGAAAGAAAGAGAGAGAGAGAGTCACCGATGAGAACATCCGACTCGTATCTCCTCAAAACAAGATAGAGGCGGTGGCTGACGAGATACTAACGAAATACATATTGGCGGAGAGGCGAACTTGGCCGTTACCGTCCTAGGATAAGAGCAGCGCGCGCTCCGCGGAGACGAGCCAGAAGACGAAGGTGCGAACGGGGGAATAAGTTTCGCGCAATCTCTCTCGGTGTGGCGACGATTGTACCGAAGAAGCCCGCGGGAGGGTGAGAGGGACGCGGAGATATGGAAACTGCGTGAAGCGCGGAATGTCGACGCGATGTGATAAGAATCGCGAATCGCTGAATCGAGGTCGACGCAAAAAGTGTCCTCTCGAGAGCGCAAACGTCCGTTTCCCGGTTCGCGCTTTTCGGAGCATTCTTGCGAGCGAAGGGTCGCTCGCTCGCGCGCCCTCGATGCGCGACCCTGCGATTATTTGACGAATTCGTGAACGAGCGTCGACGAGGAACTTCGTGAAAGTGTCCCGCAGCTGAGGCTGCAACGCCATCGCCTCCACGTACAAAGGAAACGCCCGAGGTAATTAATTCGCTTTCTGCGTAACCCGCAACGCAGAGGAACACGGCCAATCTGGTCCGGTCAGTCTTGTTACCAAACCTCTTCCTAGTCTATTTGACCTTTCGATCCTTTGAAGTTGTATTGATTTTTGGAATATCGAGACGACAGCTTTTCACAAGATATAGTGTTTCATAAGATATGCAAATGTCGCGGCTTGACACGTCAATACCGAACTTAAATTTCAAGTCGCCGACTATAATCCATGCTTGCGTTGCGTGTTCAGCACCTTTCTGTTTTGCTTAAGGCATGTGAATTTAGCACCTCAAGCTCTCAATAGTTCTGATTAGGACTCTAGCTTTTCTTCATGGAAGATAGTATTTTTATATTCATGAAAAAAGTTCCGGCAATTAACGTAAAAAAATTACAATTAAAAGTGGAATACTAACTTCACAAAATCAAGACCGGATCTTTTCAATCGCCCATTTGATTCCACTCGACGAGTTTTAGAGTTCCTGAAAAGTAAAAAAATATCAAATACTTATAATTGTTAAAACATTTTTTTTTAAGTTCCAGCAGTTTTGGCGGTGTTTTTCAACAGTAGTCGACGAGTTCTACGGGAAATTATTATGGTCCAAAACGATCCGACCAATATTTAAGAAGTTATCCGACCTCAAACGTTTGCCTCTCGTAATTTTCGGTGTTGATTTTTTAAACAATTGTAGGTATTTGATATTTTTTACTTATTAGAAATTCTAGAATTCATCGAGTTGAATTACGCTATTCAGAACTATTCGGGCTTGATGTCAAATTTTTAATATTGTTTCAAACTTTTGAAAAAAAAAATTCTATTTTCTATCAGGAATTCTAGAACTCCTCGAAATATCTCAAAAAGGCTATTCAAAATTATCTGGTCATGATTTTGCGTGTGAAATTAGCACTCCGTTTTTTATCGCAATTTTTTTCGTATTAACCTTTTGAGTGCTGAATACTCCCGGCGCGAGCAATCCGCATGGACGGCGCGCTCCAAGCAGTTTCGATCGCTGGAAACGGAATACTTTTTTCGCTAATGTAAACTCTGTCGACTGAATACGCAAGGCGCAACCACTTGAATAATACAAGAAAGTTATTTTCGAGCATTAATTATTTTAATTAATTTTACGCACGACGCAAACCACGCGCCAAGCAGAGCTAAACGCACATATGCGTCCATAGTTCTCACCGATAGCTTTCGCTGGACGCATATATGCGTCCATAGCACTCAAAGGGTTAATCGTTGGAATTATTTTTATGAATATAAAAATACTCCTATACTCCTCAAATACTTCCTCAAAAGGAAGCTAGAACTCTAATCAGAACTATCGAGAACTGATATTGGGATGCTAACTTCACGTGCCCAGATTTGTTGAGCTCTTTGGGTCTCTATTACCCTAAAACGGTACTTGAGTCTTATGGATCTCAATATTTTTGCAGCCCGGTCTGAAATTGGTTAATACAATACGTGTTTGCGCTTATACACAGATCAAATATGTTAAATCGGCATATTGAGCATTTTACACGATCTTTTCATACGATACAGTGTTTCTTAAGATATGCAAAAATATCGCAGCTTAACACATCTGGTACCACGCTTAAATTCAAAGTCGCTCACTATAGTCCACGCTGTATGCTTGGTCCTCCCTGTACTTAATATAGTGCATGTTTAGGCTTATGTATAAGTAAAATATATTAAATAGAAAAATTCAGCATTTTGCACGAGCTTTTCATACGATATATAGTATTTCTTAAAATATACAAATATCGCATCTCGACACGCCCGGTACCGCCCTTAAATTCAAAATCGCTCACAATCGTCCACGCTGTGTGCTTATGGTTTCCCTCTGTGCTTAACACAATGCTTACAAATGCGCAAATGAAATATATTAAATAGGAAAATTGAGCGTTTGGCATAATATGTCACATGTGTATGACGTTGGCAGCATGTTAATACAAGTTCCAATACGAAATATCTATAAAAACTACCTATTCCCTTGCATAAAGTTATAACGAATTCGATTTATTTTCATTCTTGGACACGAGTGCATCTCACGAGTCGGACTCAGTGGTGTGGTGGTCTCAATGGTCAATATTTTCGAATGAATGTATCGACATTTATAAATTAGAAGAAGTTCATACATCTTGGCTTTGCAAAAACTGAATGCTGATAAGAAACGAATAATTAATGAAAAAATATGTACGTTTGATTCTTTCACTGTTTTCATAATATTTCTCTACGGGTGCGGAAGAAAGGACTGAATCAAGTTTTTCCTTGAGATACTCTCACGGCATGTATGTAAAGCGGTAGAACCACTCAACTCGTTTAATCTACCTCGACTAATAGAGATTAAGATTCACACCGCAGAAGCACGATCGATAATGTCCCGACACATAAACAATGATTAAATATTATCCAATTTCCATACACGACTTTCTCGATAAAATCCCAGAATCCTTTTGACGGAACACAATTTGTTTGACTCTCGACGCTCAAAATATTCATCGGTGATGTGCATTAATTTTGAAGAGTTGCCAAGCAAAACCAAGCGACGGAGCCTATCTGTTTGTCTGCTTCCTCGGTGTGCGTCGAGGTTTCGTTCTCGGGAAATCTTTTATCATTAGTCACATTCGTTAGTAAAAATCCGTTGATAACGAGAAAAACTTTAAAGGATTGTATTATGCAGATTACATCAGATCGCGGATATTAGCGGAAGTCGATATTGAATTTCCCGCGAAAGGCACCGCGTTCTTCGATTTTTCCAGCAAAAACTTGTTTATGCGTCGTGCAATGTCGCAAGTAAACGCAACGTATCCATCACGCGTGATGTACGGCTCACGTGCGTGCACGCGTGCACCTGTGGATACCGATTAATCGGTAATCGCGTGTTACGGCAAGTGAAAACTACGTGCACGACTGAAAGAAGAACTCGTCGGTATATTAAATGAACGATTACTGAGAAACACCGCGATTTTCCCACTAACGCGCGCGCCTATTTTCCGCGATGTACACACAATGCCTCCTGAGACCGCGCCACGTCTTATTAGCTATGGATGCTGAAAGGTGAACTGTAAAAATGTTTCGTTGAGGAAATTTTATTCACAGATTCACTAATGAAGAACGGCAGGTACTTACTCAGCTTGTTGCATGGCACTTTAATCAGCTTTCGGAGGTTAACGGGACAAGCATATTGATTAAGAAAAGGAGTGCTAATAACATTTCTTTTATTTATATTAATATGTATATTTGTATATTAAAAAAACTTTTTTTTCAAGTGAAAAATATATATTTTCTTCTATATCTATAAATATATATCTATAAATATATATTTTCTTCTAAATCTATAGTTTTTCATGAAAGCAATCTAGTAAGCAAGAAATCATTAACACAACGTTATTACAATAACGTATTATATTTTTATAATATATAACATTTTCAAATATGTAATTCTTAATGTTGTATACAACGTCATTGTTAACAATATTACCGAAACCGAAACATTAAAAATAATATTCCTACATTAGGATCTTAATATTTAGGAATATATTATATATTATATTATATTATCTAGCAACAGTTTAAAAACCTTTATAAAATCTGTAAAAATATTTGTAAAATCCACATGAAATCAATGTTTCAAAAAATGTATTTAATGTTTCTTATTTACTAAGAATTGTTACCGTTATCCCATTTAAATCAAAGAATTTAGATTTAAGTAAATATTATTAGTGCCTACCAAATAAATATTTTTCAATTTTTAGATATTTTGCTCTCACCGTATTTTTTGTTTCAATATCGGATATTAGAGACAGCGAACTTGGAATTATTATTAACGATCAGAAAGAATAAAGAAGATTTTTACAAAGTTCGCTTCTTTCTCAATACAAATAGGATAACGTATTTAGTCCTCACACGCACGTATTTATATTTAGTCGAATTTCAACAGAATTTTAATTTGGGATTTGGAAAAATTAGAAAACACTGAGAGGAAGATAAAGAGAGAGAGAGAGAGAGAGAGAGAGAGATGAAAGCGAATCTTGACGGCAAACAAGATTTACATTAATTGGCAGAATTAACAAGACGAGATAACGTTTCCTCTGCATGACAAAATCGCTATGCCAGCTTTCATTTTTGCAAAGAGACTCGCTTACATTTTCTTCTTGTTCGCTCCCGAACAGTACTACGCTTCAGTTTAATCGGATCTTTAATTCGCCGCTGGGTTAAACTTCATTGGGAAAATCTGTTAATCAAATATGTGCGCCCGTGCGAAATCGCTCGTCCAACCTTTGCTCGAAATTTTCGCAGTGAGTCTACAGTCGAGTGAACAACGAACGAATCGAGTTACCGACCAAAAATTGGGCGAGCAGTACAAGTTGAGAATAATTCGACGAACTATTCTTTGTTAAGAGTGAAAGTTTATTAATTTTCTACTCTGTGATACCTGACCGTTGAACGATAATTTTCGCAGTTACGCGCGCAGTCGGTATTCTCATAATGTGCAATACTAAGTTGTTACCCCCATTCGATTGCTTATCTTTTCGCTATTAACCGTTCGTTCGTGAGCTGTTCCTTGGCTCGACCGTGAAAACGCGAATGCGGTGATGTGTATTTTTTTGACGGATAATACACAACGGCGAAGAACGGCATTATCGAATGATAGCGCTTTCAATGGAGATCCGCGATACCAACACGCATAATAACCGTGAAAAGCAATCGAAGAAAATCGAAGTTAACACAACTCTGTAACGTCAACTAACATCACAAATGACGTAAAATCTACGATTCATTTAGAAAGTTGGGCGGAAATCCGCAGGTGTACAGACAAAAAATACACACTACATTCAAGTGAACGTTATTTGTTTGAAGTATTTTTCATAAGTTAATATATATATCATAAATTTATCATAAGCATCAAATTTACTCAAAATAGATTCAAATAAACTTCGGTTTGTGTGTGCTTCTTCAAATTTTGAACCGAATTTAAAATTTGTCTTCGGTAAAGTATATAAAATTTGGAAAGAGAATAAATTTGTCTTTTGAGTGTAATAATGAGCTTTTCTAAAATTTGCGAAAAATATATTTTAAGACGGCTATGTCGAGAAAAGAAAATATGTTTCGTTGAAGATAATTATTTCTTAAAAGAAGGAAAGTAAACTGAGAAATCGCGTTTCTTAGCGGTAGAATATGATATTTTCTCCGTGCGCAATGTAATTTCTGACACACAGTTATTCGCCGAGCACGAAACGAAGGTCGGAAACTTCGATTTCATTCGCCAGGCAATTTCATTTCATCGCCGGTAAGATGAATAGCGAATTAGAATGAATCCTCTCGTAACTTATATAATCGCGTGATAAAACAACATACGCGCGGATATATGCATCATAAGGGATATGAGAGGAGCCGATTATAATTCATGCTATTCACGTTTCGCAGATTCACGGACACGATTCTCCTTAGGCAATCCACCATATATTACACGAAGCTAGGGGAAACCCAGATACAGGAAACATGGCGAATCCCAGTCGAGTTTCTTCAATACGGATCGAGAAGCGGGCGCTGCAGCGCGTCTCGATTCCGGATTATTCATCAGTGAGCTCCCTGGAGGAGGACTACGGATCCACCGAGTCCGAGGACATGTCCACCAGCCCGGACACATCTTACCGTTCGAGCGCGGACGCGGACAAGAACTTCGATCTCGACGAGGACTTTTGCAAGGAGCTGGTCAAGTTCGACGATATCATCGAGAAAATCGAGAACCTGCGGTTGTCGCGCAACATCGGCAACCACGACGACGACGACAACGACGGCGACGAGGACGAGGACGACGAATACTGTAACAAGAACGTCGGCAAGACGTCACGTCGCGTCACCAACGGCAACGTGGATAATGTGGAGTATCGGGACACCGGCGAGTTGCGGACGAATCGTCAGACCGACAACGAGGACATCAACAACAATGAAGGTAACGTGACGGTTGAAAAGAGCGAGGACCGTCAGCCGTTAAGCACACACGAGCTAAGCGACGAAGAACGACGTCGTGCGCTACAGGAGAACCAAGACTCCGAGGACGAGAACGAGGGAGTTGAACACCAGCCCGAGAATTCCGACGACTCCGACCTGATCGAGCGTGGTCCGATCAAGCCAGACTTCCAGCCCCCCCGAGGACACCCTTACTCCATGGTAAGCTGGCTGTCGCGTCCGAACGACAACGCTGACATCGCCCAAGCGATGGACTACGACAAGACCGCCGAGCAGATTCTAAGGAACAAGGATTACAGTGAGAAATTGAACGGAGCGCTGGACCAACTGTCGAACTCTGCTCGGAACCAGTTGTCAATCGGCGCAATCGTCGGCAGTCTAACGATAGACTCCGGCTGGGCAAGCGAAAACAGCGACGACAACGTCTTCCGCAACGACGAGCCCGGCGGCGACGTGAGTACTTTATAGATTTTCTTCTCATCTCCCATCATTGATAATCTATCGGAGAGCAAACGACTGGCCAGTAGTAGTTAATGATCATTCATATAATGAAAAAGCTTAAAAGACTATTATAAAATTATTAAAAGACTATTATCGATAAACTAAAAGAAATTTCTTTTTAATTATAAAATTGTAAAAATTAGTCGCTGTCCCTTAAAAATAATTTATTATCGAAGCGTCGGAGCTCCTTCTTCACGATGCTGATTGGCTGTTTCGAAATCTCGATCTCAATGCGACTCGTTATTCGACTCGCGTCTGTCATCACGTAGGTTACGCGCTCTGACAGTAACGGAGCTATCATTTTCCCGTCAACGAATTTTAGTTTAGTGCTTATTTAGTTACACGAGCTGAGATTTTTTTTCCGTGTAACAGTGATCAGCGTGTGTCTGTGCCAGTCTAGACTGTTTTTGAAAAAAGCGTGTTTTCAAATATCTCGAATATATCGAAATATTGAAGCTCTCTTTTCCGCAAAGGTGATTGGTTGTCGCGACTTACTTCATGCGTGTCGTTTACGGCTGTTAAATTATTATGAGAATTATGTGAATACTGACAGTTGATCAGTTTGCATGTTAAAGGAAATAAAAAATAAAAGTATTAAAGAAGACGGAGAAGAGAGAAGTGGAAATTTTTAGTTCGACGCTTATTTAATCACACGAACTGAGATTTTTTCCGTGTAATAATAATTAACTAAATAGTGGGTGCGCGTAATGTACGTCTATGTTGTTTTAGTCTCGCAAAATTTGCGTAGTAAAGAAATTCATATCATAAACATTCGTACGACAAAATCCAGCACGTTATCATGTGATAAGAGCGAAAGAGTATAACTGAGGATAAGTGATTCTTTCCTTGTGTATTTTCACGCAAGATTCTTAAAATTCCTTACATAACTATTACATAATTACTATTCGACTCGATAAGAAAAGCGTGGCTCACGCTACGTGTGCCAAGGCAACGATACGATGCAGGAAATCCTCGCCCATAGAGTTCTGATACAAAGGAGGATTTATCTCATTCCAGACCGCGGCACTTCCCTCCATAGTCGTGAATGACCCAGGCGAGGAGTCCTTGATGGACATCCTGTCGCGCGGCGGTTTTCAAGCCGCGGTGCTCTCGGACACCGGTAGCCACTCGATTCCGTCGCCGGGAGCGAAAACTTGGTCGGATTCGCCGGCGAGCAGCTACAACTACGTCGTCTCGAGGTCGAACAGTCGTGCGTCGAGTCGTGCGCAATCACCTGGCTCCGGCGCGAACCTGGAGTCGCCGCAGATGCACGTCAACGTGATCGACAGCCCGCTTGGCTCACCGCAGGTAAGCCCGCAGCGTCTGCATAAATGCATGAGCTTACACGCGCATAAAATACTTCGGCAAATCCGTACACGCGGAATCAGCGAGGCAGGATGCAGGCGAAAAAGAACTTCCCTCACGAGTAACTCGAGAAGGTTTGCGCTTGTGTTCCACAGAAAAGAAAAGATTTGCTAGATCTGAGTAAACGTAATTATCCATTTTTTGGTCTCTTAAATCGAATAATATTTTTTATCGATTTAAATATATTTCGATATATTTTAATAGCTTAAATATATTTTAAATATATTTTAATAGTAAATATATTTGTTTAAATGCAAATATAAAATCTTTCTAAATTTCTAAATTTAGTTCTAATTCTAAATTTTAAGGTTCTAAATTTAAAGAAGTATTTATTAGAATTATGTAATGCTTCTTCTCCGTTGAAGAAACCTGGTAATTCTAAATTTAGATTTTTCTGCCCAACGAGAAAATATTTTCTAAAAATAAATTCAGATATTTTTAATATTAGGAATTTAATATTTGTCGCAATAGTTCCAACAGATACAAGTAAATATTTGCTTATACAAAGGAAATGTATTGTATATTGTCAATTATATTTCTACTTCTGATAAATATTTTTTAGCCAAGGAGAATTCAAGTATCCATTTCATTTGGATCAAATAAATATTACTTGAATGGTAGCACTTTTTTCAGTATAAATATTAACGATTTCTCCAGTGAGTGAACTGTGCATAAACAGTGAAATCGTTGTGTCAGATTTGTATGCGATGTACACGTTGATTTATCATCGGACAGATCGTGACTCTTTCTCATAGAAGGCATTTTTGTATTTGAGAGAAAATAAAAGTTTTGTATTAATAAATATAAATCTAGTATGAGCCAACGCAGCTCGTTGGATATGTGAGTATTTAATTACAAAATTAATATTACGATGATTCTTCGAAAAGTTCAATTTAATATTATTTATTTATTCTATAATTCAATATTCGCATTCAACAACCCACGCTCTTATTGGCTTTTTATTTATTAATTGACCGTAAATTTCAGAGCTCTGTGAATGTCATTTACTTGTTTCGATGAAAATTTTAGTCTGATGGTTTTCTTATGAGTTGATAACAAGAGTGAAATGCGGCCTATCTAGTATGTCTCGTGAAGCAGGATTTTTTAATATCAAATTTTTTAATATTAGGTCTATAAATTAATTCGGTACTTTCGTTACCAAAAATTATTATTTACTTTATTATTTATTTATCAATGAAAGGTGTACAATTTTAATTATTGAAATAATTTCCATTATTTTCAATGACCTTACACTATCTGTCGGATAGCTATCGAATTACATCGTAATAAAAACTTAGTGGTTTTGAATGAATAAAGTCATCGATAAATTTTTGGATTGTCTTCTGTTGTTTTAAATATATGTCAGTTAAATGATGTTTCAACAACTGAAAACGAGTAAAAATCCGAAGGGACAAAAATTCTGGAGATAAGTCAGATGTGGTATAACTTCCTAGCCTATATTAAAAATGGCGTTTTTTTGTTCTTTTTATTATGCGAGGTCAACCGTATTGTGGCGCACACACACACGCGCACGCGCGCACAGAAAGCTTCTTGAAATCTTCTAAAAATGTTGGATACTATTTTTCACAAGTTGTTTGACTCACTGTGCCTTCGTCTAGAGCCGAACAAATGATTTTTGTGGCTTGAACAATATTTTTTAGCAGTTGAAATGCTGAAAGAATATAATGTCAAATATTCACTCTATCGATAGTAATACTGTTCACTACTATTTTTTGAGGTTGTGCTGATCATTTCGCAATGTCACGTAGTGTTTTATAAACATAGCTGGCAGTTCTTTAAAATCATTTAAAAATCAATTAAACGGGAAAATATTTAGATTTAAAATGCTTATTAGAAATGGGTGAGACAAGAGGCGCCGAATTAATTGACACACCTGATACCCGCGAGAAGAGAATAAAACGACGAGAGGGAGAAACAGAGAACACAGTCGCTCTCGTTCTTAGGAGAATCCACATAAAGAATCGCCATTGAGCGACACACGTGGCATCGTGTCGTCCGCGCGAGGTACCTTTTATCACAATTTGACGAGAGCCGCGAAATGCTCGAGCAGTCGCGCAATCGACGTCATGTCGCTGTCATACGTCGCTTCCCGTTACCGCGACCGCCAGATGCAAAACTAGTTCACAGCACGGTGAAACATTCAATTAATCGATCGGGCCCCCCTCGGCAGGTCACGCCGACTTATCGAGTGCCACAGGCGTTGTCCTCTTCGTCCTCGTCCAACCAGTCCTACGGCGACGCGTCCAGCCCGTCCAACTACCAGACACCCTTGAATTATCAGATCGAGGAGCAGCTCGGCGACTGCTTCGACGCTCTGTCCGGCTGGAAGGAGACCTACGACTCCTCAGGGACGATCGTCAACAGCAGCGACACCATCGACTGCGCGCTACTCCAGCTAGTGGAACAAGTGATCGAGGAGGACAAGCAGCGGAAGGCGCTGAAGGAGCCGCAGATCGCTTCGAACGCGCCCTGCTTCCCATCGACGTACAACGGCCTGTGCGCGCCACCGCGCACCTTGCAACAGAACAATCCCGCGGAGTGCGCGGCGAAAGACAAGCCGGAGAACTGCGGCCTGAGCATGCCAAACACGAACCCCATGGTCCGCAGCCTGATGGACGGCAGTCTCGTGTCGGTCTACACGACGAAGGAGGGCACCGGCGGCTGCACCTTCGTCAAACGCGCGCTCAACGGCCACGTGCAAATCGCACCCCCGGAGCAGAGGTATTACGAGCCGAGCGTGAAAGTCGACACTCAGCTCGACGTGTCGCAGCAGCACAACACATTGTGCAATATCGGCGGCTTGAACGGGGCCTCCGAGGGATCCGCGGGGAGCCCTGACAGCCAGAACTTGCGCACGTCCCAAGACAAGTACGCGCTGATACACCCCGCCGACGATGAGAAGAGATACGGACAGCCGTCGGCGATGTACGCGCCCAGCGATTACCAGATACCGACAATGGTCTCTTCCTTCGTGCCTCCGAGCCGTCCACAGAGGTAAGTTTCTGCGACGGCGAACTCGGAAATATAAGGCCGCGCCTTATATGTAAAGCAGCCGAACGAGAGAGAGAGAGAGAGAGAGTGAATGATTGTTTATTATCGTTCTATGCTAAAAAAAAAAATGGTAGACTCAACGAAATGTTGCTTAAACGAACAAATTTGTTTTCACAACGTTTCCATCGAATAAATTATACAATTGCTGTAAATGAATTATTAATAGATTCAACGATTATGACTTAGTCAGCGATTATATTAACGCAATCAGCGATTGTATTAATGCAACGTATTGTTGTGTCAATGCGTAATTTGCTCAATAGATACGATATGTTTTTTTTTTTCTTAATGAGGAGGACTACCGGTTTCGCCGACTTGTCGATTCAATAGCTTTTTTTCTCAGTATAAGATATATCCTCTCAGGACGTGTAAAAACGATTACAAAATTTAAGTTGAATTTTACAGCATAGTGTAAGTACCACAATCAAAAGACCTCATACGCAAACATAATACGTAATTATATCTCGAAATGAGGTCGCAACTAGCTCCAATTTTCAAAAAATGAACCAATTCAATATTTTTTAAAAAAGAGGGAGAGAGAGAGAGAGAGAGAGAGATAGAGAGCAAGCAGCAGCAGCATTGTTATTCTGAAACGCAGAAGTTGCGTATTAGAGAAAAAGCACTTTCATTAAATCAAAGTTTTTTTCCTAGAAGGACGTGACCAAGTATGCTATTTGAATTGCATCGCAGTCATAAAACACAAAGTTATTCGCGAGCGTGCGCGTTATAGTTGCGTAATAAAAATTAATGGCACATATCGCAACAGAGACGATAACGAGATGTAATAAATCGTCTACTCATATTTCAAATGGCGTGTTCGTATTTCTAACATCGCTTGGAGTAATCGATGCGAGATTAACTACGAGTTAAAAGTAAATTCGAACACGGATAGGCATGTGAGAGACTCACTTTTGTTATAACAGTCATATATTAACAGTCATATATTATATATTATTAACAGTCATATATTATATTAAACAATTGATTGTAACAAATAAGCGAACATCGATGTTTCGATTAACTCTCTTCAATGCTTATATAACGTCAGCGATGGGCATCAACTATAAAAAGTGAAGTCGAAGTAATTGATGCATAAAATATATTGATGTATAATATATAAAATATTAACGCAGATTCTGTGTCGCAAATACGAAGTCGTGTACGGTCTCCCATCGAACATTTTATTCAGATGATAAACCGATGATAAAATCTAGTTGATTCTTTGTCTAATCAGCTTATCAGCTTATCATGAAAGAGGTGTCGCATGCCAAAATTCAAAAAATGGTATCAATACACGAAATGACGCCGAATTGTTGATCGACCCAGTCATATATAATCTGCAATATTAAAACTTGCTAAAGATCACGCGCTGTGTGCATAAGACAGATTATTCATTCACGCACTGCTTTTTCTTTTGCCATATCTCTCATATGTTTTTGCATTTACAATATACACATATCTTATTCTTAGAATTCACGTTATTCTTAGAATAACACTATTCCTACACTTGAAAATACTTACTCTTTCCTCGATCTTTTGTCAATGAGTTTTTGCACTATAGTTTTCTGACTATATATATATATATATAAATATAATAAANATATATATATATATATATATATATAAAGTCCGGTATAAAGATTAACACCTGAATTCTAAAGCGCAGAGCTTTTGAATTCTAAAGCGTAGAGTAAGTATTCTCTAGTATATATATATATGTGGCGGTCGAAACAATCGGCGATAAAAACAACGGCTGTTCGCACGCGTAATTTGTTTTTTCGTATTTTGTTTCGTGATTAATTTGTTTTTCGGCGTCCCTGAGGACCCCGGAGCGTTCGCTCTTGTTTAAAATCTCAAACGTCGCGGACGCGCTCGCGAGTGTTCCTCGCCACCGATTCTCTTCGAGATTTCTACTCGACGCTCCGGACTTGACTGCGCCCCGTTTCTCGTAAACGCGCGTTAGTGCATCGCGCTCGGGAATGCGAGTGTCTCCCGTCCGTCGTGCAAGAGCCTTCCGACGGCCTTCGTCGCGATCGACGCCGTCGCGCCCCTTGTGCGCGATTTCCGATCCGTGCCTCTCCCCGCGAGGGAGAGAGAGCCGCCGCGGCGACCTAGCGAGCCGATCTCTTAGCGTTCCGATTTCTTTGTTCAGCGTTGCCCCATTTTGTTTAACGTTGCGTTTTCAGTCGAAGGAATCCCGTTCTTTATTGTGTCGCGCTGCGAGCTTGAAAATTCTTGTAAATACAGAGATTTCGTCGTTTCGCGCGAACGGTTATAAAGACCCCGTATTTATTTGCGCACACCCCAGCACTGCTTCCGCTCACTAACTTTTTCTTAATAGCGGCATTCGCTAAATATATATATATATATGACTATATATCTCTACGAGTGCTCCCCATCATTGAAGAATAAAAATTGACATCTCCACCAGTGGAACGACTTATCTGACGTAAAAAATCCGTTAATGAAAAAATTCTTTTACTACCAGTTCACTATATGAGTATAAAGTTCGATGGAAGATCATAATATCGATCATCTACTAATCAAAATACCAATGTTTGCTTATTTGTTAAATATAGTTAAATGTTTACTACAATATGTAAAAAGCATACAAATTTAATAATCAGCATTAACACATTATGCAGAGGTAAAAGATGCTTCTTAAAAACCATCTTTGAGAAATCAATTTAATTTTCCACTAACAAGGCATCTCTTCTACACGACTGGTCGTGTCGCGAAGTTCGAAAGTTCTGAAGATTCTGAAAGAAGATTTGTTCGCACAGTTTGAAAGTTCTGGAAGTTTTTTCCACACGAGTATTATTGATTAACAGTTATTATCGGTCAATATATCACAGGACGCTTCGAAAGCTGCTTCCACGTTTATTTGCGTCGGAATAATCGCGGCGTCTGCCGCGCGGGTTTAACGACCTGACTGTTTTGTCGCAGGAAGCCTAATCGTGGCATATTGCCGTGGCCTTCGCTAAATTTACCATCCGTGAGGGCGAGCGAACGATTGAAGGAAGGATTACATCCTAAGGAAGTGGAAAGAGCGATGAGTAATCTCTTGAAGAAATCTATCAAGGAACTGGCGTCCGCGGACGAGGATGGCGATACGTGAGTGATTCATTCCGTCTTAAATATAAACGCGCGAATGTACACTGCATAGAAAGCAGATTCAACAAGAACATCACTTCATACACATTGCGCGCATTGACCGATGATCCCAAGGTAGCTTATTATGTTATTCCGTTTATTTATATTCACCGTGACGGCTCAAGAAACTCTCCCGATAACAATACCGAGTTAATTGTTTTTTTGCATTTTTACGAATAACAATTTCCAAGTAACAATAACTCGCTAACCTCAATCGATGACGTTCGCGCGCGCGACAGGGCACTGATGCGTCTGGTGGGCAATCCGGACGAGCTGGCGAAGAAGAAAGCGTATCTGGCGCCATTGGTCGAAAGATTGGGCAACATGCCGGGCGCTCTGTCAATGGTGAACAATCGCGGCGAAGACGCCCTGTACTTGGCCGCGATGAATTGCCCGGAAATGCCATACGTCACCGGATACCTGGCCGCAGCGATGGTGCAGAAAGGGATCGATATTACCCAGAAATTATATCACATACGCGTGAGTTTCCTTAAGATTCCTGAAGATCTCCCGCCGCGCGACGCCAAGTCGCGCTGACGCGCCCATTCATTAATTCGCTCGTATTCGATCATCCTTGCTTCAATCGAACGCAAACGTCACGTTCCGGTTAGACATTGCAACATTACAACCGACCTTATAACTTCTATCCTGAATGGAAATTCTAATGCTCCTTTCACGCTCTTGGAATAGCTTTTGTCTACTTCGATAGCCTCTGGACTGATAAAGACCTACTTTGACGATTCGACACTTAATTCGAATCTCTTTAGTTCTACAGGTTTTATTTTAACACTATAAAATCTATTTTGACGCTAAAACAGCAAAATTTCAGACATCATCAGAATCAATATAGGAGTAAATTATATTATTAGAATTGAAATTGTGTGAGATAATTTTGCTGTCTTAGCTCCTACTGTGTTGTAGAATTAAAAGTTTAACACGGGTCCGAAATTTCGACTCAGGTAAATTAATAAAAACCTACTTTAACTTTGATACGAATTCTTATTAATTTCTTTCTTAAATCTTTAATCGTGCAAATTTCACTTTAACGCTACTTTGAATAATCTATTTTGACGCTAAAAAAGCCGAAACGAAAATTTAAGATATCCAAGTTCAAGTAGGGATAAATTATATTATTACAATTAAAAACTGAGCCTATTTTATTATTTTAGCTGCTACCGTTGTAGAATTAAAAGTTTAATACAGGGCCCAAATTTTGACTCGGAATAACAGATTTTATTTTAATACAAGAGTTTTCAGACTCTTTCATTTACGTGAACAATTCCGATTACGGAAAGGAAGACGAGATAATTGCACGAATAGCGCCGTTTTGTTAACAACGCGCACGGAAATGATTAATTGCACGCGATAATTAGATAATCGTGTGAGAGAACGACCGGACAATTAATACGCGGAAAGATAAGGCGAGTCAATCGCAGTTGATGAGCGTCGAGGATAATTTCACCACGTGTCGACGAACGCAACTTTTTCCGACTGTCATCGTCGTTACCATTTTTTTCGCTTTCTTGCCGCTTCAGGGCGACACGCTGATACACTCGGTCGCGGCACGTGGCGATTCTCACGGGGACGTCTTGGCGGAGCTGCTGACACTGAGGACGCTGGAAGGAAACCCCGTGTTCGATCTGACCAGGTGTAATTACGACGGTCAGTTGAAAAGACAAAGAGAGAATTACATAGATACGCAGCCGCTGAGATGCGAGCCGCGTAGATCCGATAAGAAGAATACATTTCGGAGAAAAAATTAGCCGTCGGAGTTAAAATCCAGCTGCGGCAGCTGTTTCTTTGAAATAAAGACAGCTAATTGCTACCGCGGCTAAATCTATCAGCTATTTGAATTTAGGCGCCACAGCAACTTAAATATCAGTTGGATCGCATAATAGTATTCAAACGATATTCGCATTCCCGACTAGAAATGTATCGCTTTTTCTTAACAGAGGCTGTCCTGAAGATGTTAGTGCACGCTAACTTTGTCTGAAATTATCCGTTTATTTGATTTAACGCTATATCGTATTTGAAAAACACGCTCGAGCGCTGATCAGCTGAAACCCGAGAGCTCTGAATCGTGAGTCAATCACTTTAGATGCCACTTCGTCGATTAACATAAACGTGCTTCGTATTGTCTACACATAGTACGGCCAGTATTACCGAAGAGGAAGCACAGCTAATCAACCTCGGCTGCTCGTGCTAATAATTTCAGCTAATAAAGTTGCGCCTCGTAAATGTATTTGATCTCCGACAGCCAGCTTTCAGCAATGACGGCGAAAGTTCGAACAGGCCAATGAGATTTAGCTGCTATTGCCAAGTTTTCTCACTTCCGAGTGTAAGAGAGACGGGTTTGCGGGGTTTTTCAGGTAGGACCGCGCTTCACGTGGCGGTCGAGTCGCACGATCCCATCGGACGGGACGTCAAGTGCCTGGCGACGGCGCGGTTGCTTCTGGAGAACGGCGCGAGCGGCAGGGTCAAGGAGAGCAGGTGCGGTGACACCGCCTTACACACCGCGGTCTCGTTGACTTGCGATCCCGCGCTCGTCAAGGTAATTCAAGTCCGAGGGACTTCCCGCGCGAGTTTCGTGCGTCAGCCGCGAGATCGAAATCGCCCGTTATCGCGTGTCGCAAAACGTCTAATTGAGTTTCGAGGTAAAGCGCGAGACGCCAGTTTATTATTTTCACCGCGTATTCTTGCGGCTGTGGAAACGTCTCCGAAGCCGGAGAATAATCTGGCTGTCGATTCCGGCGCGGGCGTGTGAAGTTGAAGCGGCGAAGTCCGGCGGCCCAATCTTATCTCAATTGGGATGTAATCCGAAGTTCAAACTAACGTCATTGAAGTGTCAAACTGTTGTAACCGCGGGAGCCGGTAGATACGATTGTGACGTTGTCCGATTCCCCGAAGGAAGAGATTTTATTCCCGCGTCACCTCCGGAAACATTCCATATGACTCGGCAATAATGTTGATCCCATCGACACGAGAGAGTTTGGACGGAGCACTTCTACGGGGAAAGGTCTAATTAGCGGCAAAGGGGAGAGTTAGTAGGTCATTTCCGTCGTGGCTTCTTCGAACACGCGCTCGGTTTCGCATCGACTCGCGTTGGAACTTGAACACTTAACACACTCGCGACGAACTAAAGTAGCATTTATGTAAATTCGCCACGATCAATTTATTACGCAAATCCGCGTGTCGTAAGGTGTGTACTTGCGAAACGACTCGAACACTGTTTTTCGATACAGTTCGGAGCGCGGCCGATGGCCCAATGAGAGAACTTCCCTTCTAGGAACCGGTCGAAAACGAGTTTTCTCGTTGGGTCGTCGGAGCTGTGCTCCAAACTGCATCAACGAAAGTGTCCTGACCGTTTTGAAACCCACAATGTATACAAACAAAGTGCGCGCGAGCCAAATGGCGGCTGGATAACTCGAGGCTATCGTAATCTTCCCTCCACCGCAAATTGGTGTCCCTTTTGTCCAAATTACACTCTCCGTTGAGATATTCTTATGATTGACCCCATAAGCCTCGTAGCGACTCCTTAAGCGACGTCTACAATGACAATTTAAGCTCTGAAATAAATGAAGAAATTGACCGATCACAATTGAGATTATTCTTCCATAATTCGATAGTAATCGGTCAATTTCTTAAGGCTTAAAGCATCTATCGTAGACTAGAACTTATAGCTCTAATAGTTTTCTTTCAAGTCCGCGCAACTCGCGATGAAAGGAACTATTCATCAATCGAATATAACTGCGAGAAACAAGAGGGAGCAACGTTGCTCGTTCACCCGGAACACCGCGCGATAACTCCTCGCACGCAGCGCACCGTAAAACCGATAACGTTATCGAGTCAGATGCCTAAAAATCACAAAATAATTGCGCGCAATAAAAAAATCAATTCAACACTCCGATACGTCGTGTTCTCCTCTCGCGTTTCCATTACGTAACACGTCGCGCGCCAATAGTTGCGTGCCTCTTCTCCGAAGGACTACTCCGATAGACTGAAACGATACGTTTTATTTCGTCGCAAGGCCGAAGACCCTTGCTTTTGCATTACACGCGATTATCCGGTGACGTAAATGCGCGCCGACTATTCAACGTGAAGATCGACGTATCCCGTTGCTTGAATCGGTCTTCCGAGAAAATTAATGATCACTAAACAAACATATCGGCAAGATTAACGGGATGAGTGACACGAGTACTTCGGGAGAATGTTGTCAAAACGGACGTTGCGGGGGAATAAGTAGAAAAAAAGAGAATAAAAGTGAGAGAAAGAGAGAGAGAGGGAAGGAGCGTTTATTGTTGTCCTAAGGTTGCCATTTAAAAGCGGAAAGTTAGCTAGTACATTAGACAAGTTAAATTACAGAGAAGTTTTACAATAAATACTAATAACAGGAGAGAAACGAAGTAAAGATTATAGGCAATAAATTAATATATAGAGCAAAAAGAGGAGAAGGGAATTCTGGTGATTACATAGTTAAAGAGTAATCGACTCTGCTAGATACATTTATGCGAAGTAGAAAGAATAAAGAGAATCTGATACCTCTCTAAAACCTAGGATATTTTTTTCTTTATAAATACTATTTTCCTTTCAAGATTATACCTTCGGGTATCCCAAAAATCTTTAGGAAAAATCACAAAAAAATATTTAGGCTTATATGTGGATCCCAGGAACCTACCATCATACGATGTGATGTTTGGGCACGTAATGAGTCACATGCAGACACAACGCCTAACTATCACAGTTCTGATGATGGGAACTTAAAGGGATATAAACGTAAAGCAGAAGTAATATAGACAACGTGAGGAGAAAGAGAGAGTTTAATGAATTTCCGAAGTATCGCTTGTTTCCCATCATGTTTCTTTAAAGAGAAAGAGAGAGAGGGAGGGAGAGAAGGGAAGAGAAAACGAGAGAGAGAGAGAGAGAGAGAGAGAGAAATAAAATTCCCAGCGCGAATTATCCGACGCAGCAACGCATCTAGCCTGGTTCTACGCGCTCTACGCCTCTGTCCCGATATTCTGTCGCGGCCGTCGTTTTCACGCGAATCACGCTCTCGACGTTTTTCCTACGTTCAACAGGTGTTGCTGTGCCAGGCGACTGCGGACATCGTGAACGATACCAACTACATGTACAACACGCCGCTGCACATGGCCGCAGCGGTTTCGAATACCGTGAGCTTGGAGAGGCAGAAGGAGGTCTGCCTGCTCTTGGTACAGGCCGGAGGTCAGACGAACATACAAAACCGACAGGGCAAGACGCCGTTGGCACTCGTGTCGGCCGAAAGGAAGGAGGTCATCAAGAAGGTATTCTACAAGAAATCATGATAAATACGGTGCGAAAGGGACGAGAGCCCGAGACAATAATGGCTGTCGCTGTCGCGGGCTGTCGCAAGACGTAAGACTGATCTCTGTGTGAGAGTAATTTATGTAACTTTAGTAATATATCGGCAAAAGTGCAATCAACAAGAGTATTCGAGAGCGTGAACTGTCGACTCCTTGTCGCTGCCCGCTCCGTCTCGTGCACAGTCGACGGATCGAAGGTTGCGACGCTTCTTCTTCGATGAATTTTTTATTAATAATTCTCGGGAAATGTAATCTGCCGACTGTACGAGGGATGTGCGTTCGTCGAGCGAGTTCCCGAGAGACTGCGACTCAAACCGAGAGAGAGAGAGAGAGAGAGAGAGAGAAAGTACCGATACGACACGCCACGATTATTGATCGCACGAAAATACCGAGGAAATTGTCATTGTCGACGACATAACGACGTATGTCGCTCGAGTTGCCAGGAGAACCGCGCGTTTCTTAATCCTTTCGCTGCGTACGACATACATCACCGAAAAGCAGCTTCTCAATTGTACACACGCCATAAATATATATTCCACGTAGAAATTTTCCCAGATTTTCCCATATACAACGTAGATTCCGATTATAATATACAAAGCTGCCCAAAATAGGTTATCTCACGATACGATACCAATTGAGAATTCCGTTCTTATCCTACACCTGAGAACAAGCTTCTTTTCCTTAGCGCGCGCATAGCGTGTGTGTACTTGTAAAGTGTAAATATTTAAATCGTCTCATATATTTTGCCCAGTCATGGTGTAAAATGAAAACCAGAAAAATCTTTGGGAAAACGTTGAGGGTGACTAAATAGGATCTGTTTCCCACTTGGAGTCGTACTTGGAGTCGTTTGAAACACTACACTTCTAATCAGAACCTACGTGGATTTCTCAACTAGAATCCATAATTATCATGGGAAGTCAGACTGAATTCCAGTTATATCCTAAGAAATTTTCTATGTGGGGTGTCGTGGAAAATCGTTATTTACGGACGCTATATGTACAGTCGTGTATGCTATGCTATTCCCTAAACGGAAAATCGTACAATTTTCAGTCTTATACATATATACATAGACACATAATAACATATAAGGCAAAACCGTAATATATAAATAGAGGCAAATAACTCTATCGTTATAATAGAGTTACTTATAGTTAGAATTACTTATACGATTTTCAGCCTTATGGGTTGTATGCGAAACTGGAAATAATACAATTTCCCATCCAGAGAATAGTCTAGCACACACGACTGTACGGCATCTTGTCCAAATTTTCTGATTAAAATTTCCTTTGTTGTATTGTTCCACCTCAGTGTCACACAGCGCAGTCGAATATCATGCAGCACGCAACGAGTACTTTTGATTGGAGCGCGCCGCAGCGAGAGTCGTTATTCGACTGCTCGGAAGTCTCACACGAGACACTTGGACTTGAGTTCAAAGTTGGATGTGAGCCTCTCAATCGATTCGCGATTACGAGTGTGGCACCATGTTTGGTCGTATGATTCGATCGGGAAACTCAGATTTGATTCTGAATTCAGGCGTCAAATCGTCGTGAGATAATTGTCGTATTTTGTAATGTCCTTTTGACGTGAGACAAAGGATACGATCTACTCGAAACTGCAAACGCTTTGAAGCGCTTAAAGGAAGAATACGATTGATCTGTACGACGCTTCGAAGCATTTGCAACGAGAAGTGAATCCTACCCAAGGCCACGTAGCTGTGAGAACTAACGATCGACCTTCTGCGATTCTCTGAAACAGAAGGAATAAAGAGTTGAAACCTGATGAAGGAGGAGGAACAATGCATCATGCGTATTAACACGTTGACTGCCAACTCTACGAGATATGTCGTAGGTTGTTTACTTGCCCAGGACGCCAACTACGAGTTATCTTGTCGCTTCATTACTTGATTTAATCAAATTGGCTTCTTAGAGACCAGAATCGTGAAAAGTTCCGTGGCAGTCAACGTGTTAAGCGATACGACGTTTTCTCTCCTTCCGGATGAAGTTTCTGTTGTTCTAGTTTTGATTTAGCGATAATACCTTCGAGATCGATCACTTTCGACGCTGAGTATACGATGTCTCAAGATGCCACGGTACCGGCATATTGTTGTGTGTGTTTTATATTCTGTACAGTTAAGTTACGGTACGAATACTGTTGTTACTTTTAACTTGTCGTAATCGCATGATGTAACGATTGCTACCTGCGTATTTTAATGTAATTGGACCTTCCGTGGCCAAATAGGGTGTAATTTCTAATAATATCTCAAGCTGAGTACTCTTTAAAATATAGGATTGGTTGTGCTCCATGTGCTTCTCACTCGACTCGGCGGGAGCAGGGGGATGGGGAAGGGTTGAAGCTCCTTTTTCTCTTCTCTTGAATAACACGCATTGGAATATCACAGCTTAACTCGTAACCCCGTTAAAAGTAGTTATTTAACGCAAAAACGCGAAAGGTTCGGATCGTAAAACTTTTTGCGGGAGAAATTTCTCATATATGCAATTATATGTAATTATATACAATGTAATTATATGCAATTATATATTAACACACACACACACACACGCAATTATATATAATTAAATCTAATTATATATGGCAAATTTTTCCCGGGTTAGCAAAGACGGGGCAGTTTTATTCTAATATATCTAGCACTACTCTGGCAATGTCTTTCTCCGATTAACGTGTACATATACTCTCCGTAGATACTTTTTATAAGGTGATATCAGGTTCAAATGTAATATTAATTTTATCGCATCGCATAATCACACGGGAGTACCGCGAATGTGAAGCGCGTTCAATCAAAACGGCCCGTTTCGCGAAACGATGGTCTTCCTTCCCAAGAGAATGCTCACTCGGCAACAATGGCGGGGAAATTGAAATGTTTGCCGTAAGGTTCGTGCCGCTCCTCCTTTTCCCATTTTTTTTCTTTCTCAAATTCGCATTATTCGCGATTACCTGGAAACGCAGAAGCGGAGTGCTAAATGAGCAATTACAAAATCGTTTCGTGGAACGTGAACCGGTTATAAATATTGTTACGGCACGAGGGGGAATAAATCGCTGGGCGCCAGGTCTTGCAATATGTGCGGACACGCATACCTGACTATTCCGCGAATTGGAAGACCTAGCGCCATAAGTCACCTGCACACGGTGCGCACGATAACGATATGCGAATGATATGAATATAGGAAGTTCTCGTTCTCTCGGCGAACGAGCGTGCGTGCGTGCGTGAGTGAGCGAGCAAATCCACGTGTGATGAGCGTGACACTAAGAGTGTGCCGTATTAACATATATGTAAATCGCAAAATACATTTTTATACACGACCATTTGCCACCTGGTATTCCCCGCCTCTCCTTTACCGCGCGAGCAATGTAATTCCCCGTCTCTGTTGGGACTCCGAAAAGACGCGCGACGCATTGTAATGCACGCCGTCGCTCCTCTTTCTCCGCTGATTCAGCGGCCGATGATCATAAAAGCCGTTTCGTGATACTGTTACGCTAATGGCGTGTAACTTGAAGGCTCTGATATGTCCACGGCTATCCGCGGATATCCGCTTATTTCACGGGAGTCGATAATTAACGCAGCAGCGCGCCGATGTCATCTCGCCCGGAGACGATTATGCATTAAGCAGCCAGTTTATCGCCAAATTTCGTCAAGGAAACAAGAGGAAAACTGATTTAACCCGTCCATCCGGTTTTAGCTTGTCTTCCTCTGTCTGTGCTGAGTGATTGCACAAAAAGGAATAAAATTTCCAATAAGCGAGGAATATTAATAGCAGAACGTGGAATAACAAATCACGTATTCAAATAGCGAAAACAACGCTAAGTTGCGGTAACAAGTCGAGAGTTGACTAAAGTCAAGGACAAATCTACACAGAAAAAAATATCATACATTTTGCTGCTACGTGGAGAAAAATAATTTTGCTGTTGTAATGAAACCATCGTTGTATATTCGTTGCGACAGCAATAAAATGTAATTGGTGTAATCGAATTAGCGAATTATTCGTAATCAGATTAGAAACCGTTTTGTTGCCAGGATAGAAAATGTTCTGCTAAGTGGATTTGTCCTTAGGACATGTTAATTAATTTGATTATTAGAACAAAACAGTGTTTTTCTACATTTAACTAATATTTTCGTACGGCAAACTAATTTGTAGATTCAGCAAAATAATTCAGTGAATCGTAATTAGTATTCTTAACAAATATTTGCTAATTAGCATTCTTAACAAATCTTTTCATTTTACTGTCCATGCAGTAATTGACAGACTTCGTTGTGACGGCATAAAATTTACTATGAAAATGATTTTTTTTTTGTCGTTAGAAAAGCGATTATTCTGTTCATTTTCTTTCTTTTATAAGTAATGGTTATTTTCAATAAAAAATATTTTTTCTTGATAATAATCTTGCCATGCAAAACATGTCACATATTTGAGAGAAGATCATTATCACGTACTTAAAAGAAAAATCTATTCCCTTTTCAAAAATATAAACTTTATCGAAGAAAAATTATATTCGATTAATGTGAATAAGCACAAGCCGAAATTTGTTTTCATTTAATATTCTTGATTGAAATACTAAACTTACTGGGATTCAGAATCTATTTGGAATAAATTTGACGCTTATGATAAACCTGTGTGTGATATATTTGCTAAACTTATGAAATACTTGAAACAAGTGAAACTTGAAACATTTACTCAAATGCAGTATATATTTTCCTGTGTATAGAGAAGATAAACTTTAAAATAGGAGAAGATAAACAAGAATGGCAATCGCAATTAAAATTACTACCCAGCAAACACAATACAACATGTAACATACCTGTTAGTTGTAATTTTCTACTCAACAACGTGTCTGTTATATAACAATTACACATTGTTAAGTAATAAATTATAACTAACAAATATGTTACATATTACATCGTGTTTGCTGGGCATATTTTATCATAGTCACACCGCTCGAATCTGAGGCCGGAGAGGGCATAGACTGAAATCGATTTCGCTTAATATCCACACTTTTTTATCATTAAGCTTATAGTTGTATGAAAATTATATTATGAATTAATAGTTATAAATTGCCCATGGGATCGCACGTATTTTAAGGCCTTTTGGAGAGGGGAGAGGACTCTTTGTGCAAAACAGGTACTTATTGCGTCTGATTCTTAATCCGTCGTTATGCAAGAGCATAATGTAAATTGTCGCAGCTAATATCACGCCTGCCACAGGCGCGCGCGTACACACGGAGTGACGGAATTATTGAATTATTATGAAGACAGCGATTAATCAAGATTTCATCTTAATTCTCGACACGTTTCTCTTTTTCCTCATATATGCACGACTTACGTATGACAACACGATTCGAAGAATCGTAATGATTGCAAATTAGTACAAACTAACTAACCTGTAATCGTCGCTGCCTTATGCTTATATATGAACGCCTGTCCACGCCTCTAGCAGACAGATAAACTGCAAATAAATGTGCATTGTGATTCGAAGGACTGCATAATGTTCGAGTTACATGAATCGTCAAGTCGCAATCTCATATTAGCTGGTCAGAGGACTAAATTAAACGATAAAAAGCCGAGTCTATTAGAAATATGCGATCTCGAATTAGTGATAAGCCACGGAGGATGTGAGAAAATGACGTGGGCTGTAAATATAATTTGTCTACTAAAAGCGTGACCGACATAACTTTTAATCTATTTGTTATAAAAGAATGAAAAATATATATATACAGGGTGTCCCAAACTAATCTCAGTTATGTGGTGTGCAAATAGAACGAGTGAAACTGAACAGAAAAGTTCTACATCATTTTGCAAGGATCTTGGGATATCACTCCGAAAATTGGCTTCGATCTTAGGTGTGAATAATACCACCATGCGAAGAATTGCTGAGGAGGACCTGAGATACACATCTTACGTCATTAAAGTGCGACAAATGCTTTCGGAAGACGCCAAGATCAAGAGAGTCACCCGCTGCCGCTTGTTGCTGTACTCGCTCAAGAACGAAGCATTTGGCCGCCTCAGATTTTTTCAGACGAGAAGATCTTCACTGTGGATGCCAAGGTGAATCGTAGGAATGATCGTTGGTCACCCAAGACCCCGAGGACATCCCTGTTGTAGCCAGGACAAAGTTTTCAACGAGCGTCCACGTGCTCAGCATCGTCTCCAGATGGTCATGCCGCCTCATTTCTTCGAGAAGGGTGAAACGGTCACAAAAGAGGTGTACGTACAGGTTTCATCGACGGTAGTAAAGCCCTGGATGGTGAATGTAGCCTCAGAAAGGCTGTACATATTTCAACAAGACGGCGCACCCGTTCACACGAGGCACTTGGTTCAAAACTGGTTCTCTGACAACGTCGATGTTTCGGTCAAAAGCGTTTTGGCCCCCAAATAATCCAGACCTTAATCCATTGGACTACTACGTTTGGAGCGTTGTTGAGAGAGTCAGTAATAAGTCGAGACACCCTAATATGGCATCTCTACGGACCACAATTCAACAGGCATTCGCAGACATAGACCGAGATCAAATGCAGAGAGCGTGTTCTCGCTTCAGGCCAAGGATCGAGGCAAAAGGCGGCTACATAGAGTGAAAGTTTACAGAAAATGTCCCATAAAAATATATGCAAGCCATTTTTTGTAAGTTTCATTTACTATTTAATAAACAACTTTTACAATAAAATGTAACTTTAGTCCCAATTTCAGGGGGGCGCACCCTGTAAAAGCGCATAGATCGTAGATTTACAATATATAATGAAAAACTCTACTAAAAATTTCATGACAATCGTGGCTGTTGCGTCAAGAGAAAAGTTTCTCAAGAGCTGCGGTGCAGAGATCGAAATTACCTGGAAAATAATGATGAATATAAAAGCGCATAAATCGTAGATTTATCATACGAAATCGTTCAAAGGATTTCTCTTATTTTAAAAAAATGTTCAGATCTGTCGGCCGCCTTCGCGAAAAATTCAACGGCGATTATGGTTTTTGCGTCAAGAGAAGAGTGCTCTCGGGGAGTGCTGAGTAGATTTTAATCGTCATTCGAAAGAAGAAAAAGTTGTAGGGCCCGACACGTTTGAAACAGAAATGAAAACGCGATTCAGCATCTTTATGAAATTGCACCACTGGCACTGATTGTGCGATTGAACTTAACAGAGGGACGCTATCATATGCTTGATATCGCCTGGACCGCATTTTCCGGTTCGCACTATGTCGCCAGCATGTCGGGCTGCCGGAGAGAGCGACGCAGCGCGCGCGAACGCATCGACTTCATCCATCGCGTCCCACACCGAAGCATATTTACCAAACGGCACGTTACGCGCACGTCAGTCACCATAAAAAAGCGGCACGAAAGAGCTGTCCATCTTAATCGGGCGTCCGACTGTGGTGGATTCGTCTGTCGAACGAGTGTGATCCCCGAAAGTGCACGCCGTACTAGCCCGCTCTCTCGTCATCACGGTCATCACGTTCTCGACGTCGACGCCGCTATTCATCGGAATTGTTCCGAGCGTGTTCTCTCCGAAAAGGAGGAAAAAGTGACGCGAGAGGGAAAACGTGCCGCCGTGAGGCCACCGGAAGCTTGAAATCCGTCGGAACGAGTGCCGAGTGTTCTAGAAAGGATTTCCGAAGGAGCGCGAGCGAGCGAGCGAACGAGGTGGAACAGCCCTCCGAGAGACGGAGACCCGAGGAAAACTCAGAGAAAATCCAGTTTCGCCGCGAAGCACTGCAAAATGGTGAGAGCGCTTCCCTTCTCTCTGTTTCCCGCATATTTTTCCCCTCTTGTTGGGCTTCAAGCATGGAAACCGAAGCCGGCGCATTCGTACGAACGCACCTCCTGCACGCGGAGAAAGTACAAATCCATATCTCCAAGTTCTTCGTTCCGCGAAACTTCACTATATACAATATATTTTACTTTTACTTGAAAGAGAAGTTAAATGTGCGATATCTGCAGGTATAATTTCGTGATGACGAGCCAATTGGCGGAAATGCGAGACGCAGCGTTGGGCGCGACTTTTCTCTCTCGCGGACCGCCGTGCGATTCGATCGGCCCGGAAATGATGTCAATGCAAGGGGAATTACACTTTCCTTGATATTTGATTGAAACAGACACGCGGCAGTTCTCATTAAATACGACGGAGGAAGTGACTTTTCCCGCGTCGTCGTTATTTCCGGAATTGATCGAATCGTTCCGCGAGAGAATTCTTACAATGCCACCGTCTTCCCTTCTCCACCGATTGACTTATTACGATGAAATCAATCTTCCTCAGATTGCACTCTCTCTTTTAAATCGAACAGACGGCGATTTTTATGAAATATCGTATCGAGGATCGAGTTCACCGCATTTATACCCGTTCCGATTCTTGCAACACTACGTCTCTCTTTTTCCATCGATTGGTTCATCATGATGAGATCATTCTTTCTCAGATTACGCTCTTTTTTTCTTTTTCTTCAATCGACGACAGGCGATTTTGACACGGGGGAAAATAATTTCGCCGCTGTAGCAAAACCGTCGTTGCTACTGCATATTTGTTACGACAACGATAAAATTTAACTGGCATAACTAAATTAAAGAATTATTCCTAGGGCAGAGACAATTTTGTCGCTTGTCTTATCGCCGGGATAGAAAAATTTTGCCGAGTAAATGTATCTTTGGGACACGTTAATTTGCTGTTAGAACAAAATAACGTTTTCCTACATTCACTAATTTGTTCTTACAGCAAAATATAATTTGTAGACACAGCAAAATATATAAATATTATAATATAAATATAATAAATTAGAGAATTATTCGTAGGGACAATTTTGTCGCTTGTCTTATCGCCAGGATAGAAAAATTTTGCCGAGTAAATTTATGTTTGGGACACGTTAATTTGCTGTTAGAACAAAATAACGTTTCCCTACATTCGCTAATTGGTTCTTACGGCAAAATATATCCAGCAAAATATATTAGTACTTTAACAAATCGTCTTACCGTCCACATAGTAACTAAACAGACTTTGCGGCGACGGCATAAAATTTGCCATGCCAATAAATTACTCTCCTCAGGGAAGGGACGAGCAATTGTTCTCATTTCAGGAGAAATCCTCAATATCTCCGTTATTTATTTTTAACCAACCTATATGTTCGTAATAAGTCGATTGCAATTTAAAAAAAGGTGAAAGAGGGACTTCGAGGAAAGAAACCTACGTCTCCGCGAGGGAACAGTTTACGAAGGACCTAATTGCTCGCTCATTGTCGAAGGGGAACCCATTAATTATGCAATAACTCGGCGTACATCGGCGCGAGCTCTTATCGCCGCGGAATAAACACTTCCCTTTCTAATTTCAGCGCGAGTAGCGGCACTGCCAGTGAGACCTCTGCGCGCATAAGTACAAACGCCGAATATGGGAGCAGGCCTACTACTCGCTGTGACATTCACAGCGGTGGCGGCATTGTCCGTGTCCGCGAATAATATCAACGGACAATGCCAAATTTACAATGGGAGCAGGATTAAGTGCAGTTGCATCGGAAACGAGGTACCGAACGCCACCACCACCACCTTCGCGCCGGAGAGATCGCTCGATAAACTCGGTCGCGCTCGGCGCGCTCCCGTTTCCGCGCGAACAAAAATTTCCATGCGACGCGATCCCGAAATAGACAGCCGGCTCGCAGACGGCGACGCTCCCCCCGATCGATCCGGATCGTCGATCTCGCGGACGGGAAGCCGGCCGAGCGAGACGAGTCAGAGGCTGCTACATGTCTGATGTCGCGTTTCCGATATTTTTTCCCAGGAGTTTTTCCTGCCGGACGAGTACAATTACGCGAACATCGTGAGCGTAACCGTCGCGGGATGCGACTCGGCGGACCTCCATTATTCCAGCCTGACGGAAGCGACCGATCTCGAGGAGATGATAGTCCAGAACATCAGCGGCAGTCTCAACTTCGAGGTCTTCATCACGTCGACACGTATAAGGACGCTGAGGCTATCGGACATCGGCCGGATACCGCTGATCACGAGCGACACGTTCATACGGCTGGCGAGCATCGACACGCTGATGATCGAGAACGCGCACATCGACCGGTTCGAGGAGGACTTCAGCGACATCAACATGACGCACTTCAGCATGAGAAACGTCACGGTCGAGCGTATGGGCCGGCTGAACCTGTCGGAGAACGGCAAGACGTTGTACATCATGAACACCGAGTTGCGGAACATCGCGACGTCCTTGACCTTCAGCAACATCGGCACCATCGAGATCGTCGGCTCCAAGTTCAGGCTGCAGAGGCCGGGCCTCGTATCCGTCCTCGGCGGCACCGTCGTCGTCAAGGACAGCGTGTTCTCGAACGCGAGCATGAACCTGAACGCGGCCGTCGCCACGATACGCGGCGTCTGCGCCGACGGCAAAAGCGCTCTCCGGTTGTCCTCGAAGTACATCGACAGTACCGACAACCAGCTGCCCAACGAGATAGTCTATCTCACGCGGGACAATCAGCCCGCCAGGCCGGACGTCAACAGGAACAACACGGTCTGCAAAGCGGGCAACTGCAAGTGCCCGAAGATCAGTGGACAGCAGCCGTGTTCCACCGCCTGCATCTCGCTCCTCGTCCTCGGCTGCCTCTTGACATCGTTTACGCTGTTCCGAGGATTCGGATGAACCGTTTGTTCATGTTAAAAGAGCACTCTCATTTGAAACTCATTCCGCTCGGCAGGTGACTTTTAAGGATTTCTTGGAAGAAACTGTAAGACTTTACAATTCCGAAGTTTTGCATAAATATTGATCTGTGCTTTAACTGTATACAGTAATTTCTACGCATTATTATCCTCAATATTAATAAAGTTAGGAATAATTTTGTTAGCGCTGAACGTAAGATTGGTTACCACGATTCTAGATGTTGTATACAATGAAAAATATTTTGTATTTGCGTTAAAATCGATTCTTGTTAAAATTTTTGGTGTTAAATTTTAACAAATTTCTAAAACCAAAAATTAACAAAATTATTAAATTATAATCTTGTGAATATCATCTCTGCTATAATGAAATCAATATCTTTAATACTTCGATTTTTTTAAAGATTCCTAAAACTGAAAAACAAAACTGATCCAAAATCGATTGTTCTCTCTTAAGCCATGTTATTTTGTAAAAAAAAATGAATCTGTATTTTTCATTGTAATAAAAATGATAACTACAAATTTATAATTTAATCTTTTTTCAACGTTTTAGTTCAAAACCATAGTGACAAACGTAGCAATCATGCAAACAAAACATTCGTTCAGCGCTGCATAAAATTATTTATAACTTTATTAATATTGAAAATCATAATGTGTAAAAATTATTGTACATAATGAAAACATAAATAAACATTTGCACAATATTTCCAAATTGCATATCTTATAATGTAAAAAAAGAAATTTCCAAAAATCACCTACAAAACATCGTTTCAAATGAGAATACCATCTTAAGTCTGTTCTTTTTAGCTGAACTACTTGCATTAGAACTTTGTACCTTTTCTCTTCAACACGCGTTAAAATAATATAATTGTTTCACTCTAAAAATAAAAAAGTGCAAGCTAATTTACCTAAAAAGAACAGATTTATAACAGCGTCTTCTAGTTAAATTTCGTCATGATGTTATGAACGATAAGAGGGAAACGATCTTAACGATGTAATCTACGAGAGAATTTTAGTTGAATAAAACTAGTTTGTAAAACAAAGCGGTCAGTTCGTCTATCAACTCAACTGATTGTGTAGGTTGAGATAACTATCTTGAATATCTTTGAAAAATATCAATATTTTTTCACAACCAAGTGAAAAGGAGTTTATATTTACAGAAGATATTTGAAGTGATAAAATTGGTATCAATGCCATGTCTATTAAATAAATTTCTCTTCTGCTCCCATATTTCGAAGATATTCGAAGATATTCAAGGTGGTAATATAATATATATAATAGTTATTGCTTTACTATATATAATAAATATGCGGCCAAAAAAGGTTTGTACCCAAAATAAAGTCATATGTACACATACGCACACATTCGGAGGAGGGATTAACAAAATATCTTTATTTCATAACACAAATTTTAAATGATTAAAAAATCTTTCACACAAGCATCGCATCTATGAGATGCACGTAAATGAAGTATACAATGAAACGCTCGGTGCTTGCAACAAGCGTTATTATTATTATGATGGTTCTACAAGGCACGTGACTATGTTCCAAGCAATTGCGTGTGCTTCCTTCTTTTTACTATGTTTGACTTTCTTCCTTTTTACTGCACCAAAGATTCCATTCTTACTGTTCTCCTATTACACTTAAGCACATTATAAACGTCAATTAAACTCAATAACTATTCTTCCACATCGGTCCACGCCCCAGACGCCGCCATCTGCAGAGCGATCGCATCCTCGTGCAACATCAGAGTTTCTTTCAGAACATGGATTTCTTCTAACATCTGCCTGCTGTTTTCTTCTAAACGACAGATGGTATTTTTGTACGAAGCTAGTTCTTTCTCTCGATCTTTCTCTACTTTTCCCAAAACTTTTCCCTGAGGCACAAAGGTACCTACACGAATCGGAGGAATAATTATAACGTGTTTCCTGAATTTCCCACGGTGTATAACAATTATGATTACACTCAGAGAAAGAATTAACCATAAAAGCTGAAATCTAACTGTAGCAGCTAAAATATGTCCTTGAAATAGGAACAGCTAATGTAGTTGTAGTAGTAATGTAGTAGTAATATTTCTTGCTGTAGTGCCTAAATTGTAACATCTAATAAATTTAGCTGTGGTAGCAACTACATTAGCTGTCTTTATTGACCAATCGCATTGATTGGTTCAACTAATTGGCTAATTCGATTGGTCGATTCCATTGAATTAATCGTCGATTAGATTTAAAATGTGACAGTAGAAACGGATATTAGAGCAATAATAAGTTCATTTACAAACCAGCAGATTTCTGCAATCGCTCCTGCAACTTCTGATTAAACGTCAGGATTCTCTTTACCTCGTGTTCATGTTGAACGTCTTTGGACTGTGCTTGCTTCCTCAATTTTCGTGTCTACGAGTGTCGAACGATTTATATTTATGCTACGCGAATTATTCGGACGGAGTAAATGTAAACGTATATCCTACGCAAATCCTACCTCTTCCTTTTCGTGTTTCAGATCGCGCGACACGCTTTCTAAATTATCCTTAAGTCTGCTCTCTTTCGCTTGCGTCTCGCACAACGCTTGTTCCTTCTTTTGCAGGTCTTCCTTTAGACGCGCTACTTGATTCTGTCGAGACGTTTGCGATTATATCGGTGGGTAAAATGTTTTTTTCTTTTTTTTTTTAAGCGATACGTTACCTTCGCACGCTTACCAAGCAATTTTCTGTGCAGCTTGAAATAACAATTCATCTCCGAATATAGTTAATTCTTTGAAACAACGAATACTTACCTTGAGATGGACATTATCATTACAAGTTCTGTTATTCGAGAGGACCGTCTTGTCGTGTAGCCGCATAAATGATCTGTGCTTATGTATCAAATTCCAAGTGGAGTTTATTATTTTTACAGTTAGCCGTTTCAATGATTCTGCGCTTTGCATATCGTCATCGTGATTTGGTGCGATTACCGGTGCGATACCGAATGACAAGAATTCCTATAGATACATACACAGAGAAAAAATTAGTCTTAAATCGAGAATAGATATTCTCATATATAAACAAGAATATTATAATCTTCTTAGAAAATTTCTAGTCTTGATTTCATTGAATTTACATCGATGCAAGTATTACTTGAACTCAATTCAAGACTAAAAATCTTTCTAAGAATATTATAATATTTTTACTTGTGTATGAAAATATCTATTCTTGATTTAAGACTATTTCTTTTCTGTGCATTGATTAATATTTGTGCACACTTCGACAGAATTGTCTGCCATTACCTCTGACAATTCATGCAAACATCCCTCTAAATTGTCTTTCGTGCAGAATACGTTCTCATCGCTTTTAGAATCGAATTGCTCAGTTGAGGCAACATTCGCGTTCCCGTTTGAGTGAAAACATTTGGGAAGTACACTCATATTTACCTATACATATCCTTGAGTCATTTATATTGAAAATGATATCGGTGAAATGTTATAAACTTGTTAAAAAATTCACAGATTTTTAATTAATTTATATATACATTTATCTGATTTAAATCTTACGTAATTTTTTCAAAATTTATCACTTCATCTCCAAACTAAATAACTGATATACAATTGCTGAGTTTCATGATATAATAACATTATAACCTTGTTAAAATAGAAAAGAAAAAAATAAGAAATAAAGTCAGTATAAAGTATAAATATTGTAACTGTAAACACAATGCGCGAAACCTATTTTCTCGCATAATCTCTCATTCTTTTCTCTCTTTTATTTCTCTCATGACTATATTTTGATTGTCTCGAATAAAATATTTCTTAATGGTATGTATCATTGCAACTTTGTTTAACATATATTGCGTACGATACACGAGTTATTTCGCGCTTAGCAAAACGTAGATTAACCGACAGGATATCTAAATTTATAATTAAATTACAAATATTTCATAACCATAGACGTTCGTTTCTGGACATTAAAGCTATCACAGTGACAAATTTTTACGTTGATACATTATTCCTGCTTTTTGAATAATTAATAAATAATAACTCAATAATGACCAAAAAATTCTAGTATCATAATTATATTACGTGTTAAAACTATTCTGTCGGTTAGTGTACGTTAAGGTCAAATAACGAAGTATCTTTTGTTTGTATATTTTTCCAATAATCGTGTACTAAGATGATAAATACTGAAACAATTGTATGTCAAGGTACAGAAAAAGAATAACATTTTTCTACCGAGAGGAATTTGGCATAGTCGTGTACGCAATATGGCCTTGAAAACGGGTTAAGAAAACGGAGCGCCGCACGTAATGTGTCAAACTTTCGACCCGTTAATTTTCTAACCTCTAACAGCGAAATTATAAATCAAAGTAATAAGATAATATTAAGAAGCTATGAAGAAGTTTAAATTCAATATTTAAATTATTATAAACAAATAAAGCTACTCTCTCTACCATTAAAAAAAAATATATATATGTATATTTTCTAACCTCAACACGCGTTTGAAAACCATATTTCTTTGCCCCCTATGATATTATCTGAGATTAATTTAAGTTCTATAATTATTACTTTGATCTTATTCTTACCTTTTATAATTATCTCCCTGTGAACGATCACACGAATAACCTCGTTACTTCCTTCACTTCCCCAAGCTCGTTCTACTCATTGTACAGTCAACAACACCCTAACCTGAACTGAATTCCCTGCCACGCAATGTTAATGTGTGTTTGTGTATGCATGTGCCATTGTTCATGTTCCATTGGTTGCTTTCGACAGAACGAGACGCTTAGAGAGCAATCAGTAATTATTGTCTATGATCGCGCGCATGAAGTGTATACCTTTAGAGAACTTTGATAAATGTAGAGCAAAACATTTTCATATTTGTTACAGTGAACGTGATGGTGTTACGAGTATTTGATATTTTTCGTTGATATATTACGACTTAGGAAAAATAGAAGTAGACGAATTATATGTATTGATGATTTATTGATCACAATACTTGCATTCCAAATATATAATTTTTACAATTTCACACCTGCCTCTCTATTGATTTTTTTACGATGTCAATTGCAAAATGTAGTTTCGATTTTCTCTATCATTTATATGTGTGTATACGTGTGTTTTACAATATTTTTCCCTTTTACAATATTTTCATAACAATAATCAATTAACTTCACTTGGTTTCGATACAGATTAAATATTGTTTTCTCAATGCAGTTTGAAACGCAAGTTTGAAACGCATGGTCCAATGAGAAAACTTGTTTTTATTTAATTCCCAGAAGTTAAGTTTCCTCATTGTAAGCCATCGGCTGCATTCCAAACTGTATCAAGAAAAAAGTATCCAATTTGTATTGAAATCAAGTGTATGTTTCAAGAAACTGAATGCCAAACACTTTTGTACGGTAAAGGCCATTCCCTCCCCTCTCCTCCATTTCTCTGGAAGTGTACTCGGATGTGTAATTGAAAATGTAAAAATGCAGTATTTCCTGTTTCTGAATGTCAAGTATCGCTTGCTGAATTACAAAGGCTACCTTTATCAAGCCTTAATCAGAAAATTGACTTTAAAAAAATCAATAAATTTGCCAGTTTCTTAATTGAAACTCTTAACATTTCATAACTAAATTTATATAATTTCTTAATTGAATTTAGTTATTAAACGACTTTATCATTTAATTGTATATGTACAATTAATTGCTTTAAATATTATATATCTGTGTAGTAATTAAATAACTTGTATAAGTTATAATTACACATTACATATATATTAGCAAGCTTATACACATGACATGTTCTATGTGCATGTCGTATACCGCTGAAACATTTACATTCGATATTATCTCATCTCTCTCGAAAAATTTATGTTACACGATTGTAACCATTAAATTTCATTTGCTCGCATTTCCCTAAACGTAATTATTAATTCATCAAAATTGGAAGTTGATAACTCTATATCAACTCTGAAATTAAGTATATTCGGAAAACCGCAAATTGCTTCCTGAAGTTTACATTAATTGATTAACACTGAAGCTAATTGTGAAGCTTTCAAAATTATTGTCACAAATGCGTTATGAATCGTTCGGAATTATTACAAATATGCAAATCGAACATTCTTCAATCGCGCTTACGAGGAATGAATCCGGCGAGATTTATCGCGCGAAGAAATTGAAACACACACGCGGCAACGATAGCGATTAAAGTTCACTCGTGTCTTCCTGCTGCTGGGAAAATACACACCTTTCAGAAATGTACAAGTGTCATTTTTAAATCACCCGCAATATTGATTGTAAAAATGTACTATACTTTTCTGATTTTACATTTAAACACACACAAGCGTTGAAAATTCCCTTAATCGTTGCCGATGCCGCGAAAGGCGCGATTGTAGCAGGTCGCGTTGTAAACATCGCGATCGCGATCGAAGAAAGTCGAAGTCTTTCGGTAAACTTAATGTTATATAAACCCGATTTCGCGCTTTTATCTATTTTATTTTCGCGTTCTATATTCTATATACGTTCGTTATTATATATCGCGTTTCTTGAGACGCGAGCAAACGTAAATCTAATGCCCCAATGCGCGAAGATGAAATTTTTTTTTATGAATTAAATATATAACATACACGAACGTTAAAACAGGAGTGAATTCGATTGCCGTACTGCATACATTCGTAGGAGGAAACAGAGCAGTACACCCCGGAACATCCTCGATACAGCGTTCTCCGCCACTAGGACGAATAAGGCCCTCCGTAGTATACCATTCTCTTTCTCTTCCTATGCCCAGTCCGTCGTGCATATTGCAGAAGATCCTCGTTAAGCTTATAGCGTCAGCGATAAGTCGGGACTTCTGGGTTGATCCATATATTTTTCTTCGCAGATGAGGCTCATAGCTAGCTTCCGCCCTTTGTTGTTCCACAGGACATAGGAATGCTTGGTGCCTGATACTCTACGTGCTTGACTGAAAACGGTCGATGAACGTTTAAACGTTTACTCAACGCGCTGGTAATGTTTGACAATTTTATATTCACATTTTCATCTGAGACGAGCTTAAATCTCGAGTTCAACTTCGCATTCGTAAAGAAGCTATGCGATATATGTGTAAATTTGGAGATTACAAATTATTATTAGTTATACTCACGTTTGAAACCAGTCAAACTCCGTAGTGTACATTCCGTTGCTGAAATTCTCGAACAAATCTAGTATTCGGTATCTCTTAGACGAGTCCTTTATGGATGTGTCGTCGATCAGAGATCGGACCCAGTTGTTGAAGCAAAACAACGCCAGACTTTTATTCTTATAGGCGTGGATGGCGATATTAGCCAAAGGCGGAATAGTACAGATAGTGATGGCCGAGTTAGAGAGATGAAATCTGGACTGGAGAACTTGCAGGAGCTCGGTCATATCGTCTATCATCTCGTCGCAAGTAGCACCCTGGTGTTAATTGAATATTTAATTGAAGTTCCGTTAGAGAGGAATCGTGCGCTTCTTTTTAGAAATAAGCAACGAGAGGAAGTCAAACTTTATTAAGCTAAATTTTCTCGGGTGTCTCTTGTTTCTTCTCTATTAGATTTATTTCTTTTCCTTCTTATTTCATCTTGGACACGATAAGTGGATTACTTTTAATATTTCACGCACTAGTCGCGACACGCCAAGGAGGAAGAGAGAGAGAATCAAATTAAATTCACTTACACTGTAAATATCGACCGACCCAAGCAGAATTATGACACGATTGGAGATGGTACTAATGTTCTTTAATGCGCGAACGCAGTCACTTATAGTTTGTCCGGAAACGCATAAACCGCAATGCAATGATAAGCTATCTGAAAAGCGTAAAATCAAAACTGATATAAGTTTCGTCATTTTATTTCAATTCGAAACGCATTTCTTTTCTCCGTCCCGAGAATATTTATAACAGTTTATTTTCCTGTTTCGATCCGCGATCGATAATATTCATGAAAAGAGAATATAAATTTTTTTTTTCGATTACGTGATAATGAGCTTTTCTAAAATACGTAATGAGTATATTTTAAGGTAACTGTTAAAAGAAGGAAAATGAACTGAGCAGACGTTTTTCAACAGTAAAATGATATTTCTCTCTATATGAAGTAACAATAATTTATTTAAGAAAGAAACAAAATAAATATTATGTTTTCAAATGAAATGGAAATTGCGATAGAGACAAATTAAGTTTCCATGAAGACAGGAGGACCTCTCACCTTTGTACCGCCAAATCGGAAGGTGAAGATTTCGTATTGCAAGTTGCAAGAAAAAGTCGTCGCCGATCAACTGTTGACCATTCGCGACGGGCTCGTATATGTTGGTCTGGAATATCAAATCGTTCGTAATGTCCGAGGATTTTCACCTCGGGGGAAATAATTATCTCACAAGTTTCATTATAAACTTACAATCTTCTTAAACTCATTCGTTTCTATCACCACCGGGTGATGATTCTCTTCATCTTCCTCAAAGGAGAAACTTCTGTCGCCTGAAATAAATCAACATAAATGCGTTCGTGATTTTATAGGAAACAACGCGTAAGAGCAAACGGAACGAAATTTCGACTTGTTTATTCAAATTAACCGTTTATTCGATTTAACTTTTCTTCGATAAAAAGCTTATAATATTCTTAAAAAGAGAATATAAATTCTTCTTTCGATTACGTAATAATGAGCTTTCCTAAAATATGCAATGAGTATATTTTAAGATAACTGTTATTTAAAAGGAGGAAAATGAACTAAGCAGGTGTATCATAAAATCGAGAAGCAAAATAATACATTACCACTACCGCCGAATACGTTTAGATCGTGACGATAAAAATTGAGATTCAGCGTTCTCTTATTCACACGGTTGCTGTTGTACATCTTTCTGATCTTATTCTTGCGCTCATCATTGTACTCGAGATTGCTCTTCTGCCGCGTAAACTGCTTGTAGTATTTATTCTGTAGGAAGCAACACGTTAGCACGATTACACAACTCCCCGTACGATCCTCGCGATCACCTTCATCAGATTCTTCAAGCTGCGAAACGCGAATCATTCGGCCTACCTTCGTCTTTGAATAATCCTTCTTCTGCTTGCATATGAGCTTGTCGATATGCGAGATCTTCGAGTCGTTAATTTTCAGTGTGTACTCGCCGAATTTGTTCGGAATTGTTTCCAAACCGTCTATAGTGCGTAAGAGCGCGCGTAGATTCGAGAATCCCAATCTGCGATATGGAATCGGCTCCCCGACGAGATTTTGAAACTCATCTATGCGCGCGAAAAGCGATCATTCTCTTGTACTTAAACTTCCTCGAACGCGGAATATATTGCGTCTTTCTTTCATAACGCGAAAAATTCACACGAGAATCCAGTTAAATACTTCGAGCGCAAAAGAACGGCAAAGTACTTACCATTTAGATCTTCAATTGGTACGCCTCCTTTCTTCGAAATGACACATGACTTAATCAGTGCCACTGTTTCCTCCATTTTTTTTACAAATCGATTAACTTTTATAATTTATTACTTTTATAATTTATCATTAAAATTACCGATATATGTACAATATATTATGCCGACAGCTCCATTTAAAATTCGAATGCTCTTATAAAATGTCTGCAGTTCGACGCTGCTGTTGCTTCACAAATGTTTCCACCGAAATGTTCGGCAGCGGTTGTTCGTGTCCGTACCCGCAAACGGTAGGCCGAGCAATGAGGATCGTTCCGTCGCGCAACGGCACGACCTGTTCATTCGTACGTCCTAGAAATCTTCGAGAAGATTCTGTAAATTCGTAAACACGACTCACCGCGTGACCGTGGTCTATATAGAAAAAGTACTAACACGGAAGGAGAATGTGTACGAGGCGTGTTTGAATGAGAGTAGCGACGAAGTGCTCAACGATAATAACATCGACGATTCGGTCGCCTCGTGAATTTCAAGCAATTCGTACATAACAACGTTAATATAGCTAAACTCCTATAATATCTTAATACTGTAATATTATCGTAATATGTTACGTAATATCGTAATATGGTCGATTGTCTTTCATAAAATATCGCGGTAGGCTGATTTTGGATTTTGTGAATTAATAAAATGTCGATTATACGCGAACAATATATTTTTCAACTACAAAGATTATTGTAGTAATTTCTGTATACGTACAAGAAAAAATTACGGACTTCCTTAAAAATCTCCGAGGGAAACGAAGGTAATATTATTTGTTAATTAATGACACACGTTGCGCTACTGCGGTTATCAGATTTCGACAAGCAGTTATAGGTGAATCAATCCGAGAGGAGATAATATTTGATATGTAGGAAAGATAATAACGCGAAAGAGAACGTGTACGACGCGTTTGAATAAGAATAGCGACGAAGTGCTCAACGATAATAATACCAACGATTCGATCACCTCGAGAATTTCGGACAATTCGAACACGACGAACGTTAATATAATGAAACTCTTGTAATATCTTAATGCTGGAATATTATCGTAATACCGTAATATTACGTAATATCATAATATTGCTGATTGTCTTACATAAAATAGCGCCATAGGATTTTCGGTCTCGTGAATTAATAGAATGTCGATTATATGCGAACGAATTTTTCAGCTGCAAAGATTATTATAATAATTTATAAGTACACAAATTTATATGTTACACAAAGAAATTACGGACTTTCTCAAACTCTAAAAATGTCAGAAGGGAACAAAGGTAATATTATTTATTAAATAATGCACGTTGTGCTATTGTGGTTATCACAGATTTTGACAAACGATTGTAGGCGAATTAATCCAAGGGGAGATAATATTTGAAACAATTAGCATAAACGCAAGGGAAATCATAAAGCGTAGATGTATGCAAAATCGTACGAATTTATGTATCCAAATCTGATCTGTACGTTGAAATATGAATTACTTCTACACGGAGAACCCATTTAGTTGAATCAACTAAATTCTTGTTTGACTATGGGCGAACAAATTTTTTGGTTATAATAACCAAAGTTTAGTTGTCTAAACCGAAGGTTCGGTTCTCTGAAGTTTCAGAGATTGCAAAGAATCAAACTTTTAATTCAGAGAACCAAACCTTGGTTTTTATAACCAAAACATTTGTTTACTCATAGTCAAACAAGAATTTAGTCGATTCAACTAAATGAGTTTCTCAGTGTACATGCGGGCGATGTCACCAACATTTCCCAGATAATATTTCAAAACCCAACTATCTCTGCGGTTCAATAACGGCTACATTAATATCATCTTTAGCAGAATATTTTAAACTCGCTCTGAGTTTTGAGTTTCAGCCACGAGATGGCCATAGTTGATTCAAAAGCGCGAGCTAGAGAGAGACATCGATTATTTTTGTACAACTATACTCAGGCCCGATATATAATAATTATATTCGCCTCTCATATAATAATTATATTCGTAAGCAATATTGCATATTATAAAACTGTCATTTTTCATTATTCAACAGTTTCATTCGCGCCTAGTCTTTGTGTGTTCACGTAAGATTGTCGAGGAAGAAAAATCAAGATCGCGCGTCGTGGGATTAAAGAATGTCGGAACGACACGAATACGTCGTGTCGAGAGCCAGAATTAGAGTCTACTTTCGTGAGATCGCGCGAGATGCCGATATTTACAAAGACCACGGGCCCGCTCGACGAAGATCCAGAGGAGTTTTGACGGGTCAGTAACTCCGAAAATATTTATGTCGTCCCAAACTATTCTTACACCCGCGACATGGATATTTTTGGCTAATGTTGGGTAACTCCCGTATACGTTTTATTGCTCTCCCCTCCCCCCCCTAATTACGGCTATTCGTTCAGCTCTAAAAATATCGTGTCGGAAATCGCAAAAATTGACACGGCCGACACGGTCGTTTCCGCGAATCTCTAGATGTTCGAACATCGCCTCTCTCCGGTCGCTCTCTAAAATCGATCGAATCCGCTCACACACGAACGTATATAATTCTCTCATATCGTACGAAAACGTTATAGCGTTTGCTAATTATTGACACCAACGTGTTCATCGTTGCGATTAATTTAACGAACATTTCACACTTCCACATTCCTCCGCTACGCCTCTTTTATATTTCAAGAGAGACTCCCCAAGTGTCTTCAATTAAATTCATTCAATTGTTAATTCGCACAAATGAAATGTGCCAATTAACTTATAGAAAAAGCAGAAAGAATGAAGACGCTAAATATATCATTTGTGTCTTCTGCTTCAATAATAAATCTTCAACATCGCGTAGACGAGCGTTCCGTATTTTGCTTCGCTCAACGGCTCCGGTCTTTCTCGAGCCGATACTCGACTCTTCGTGCTTTGAGGAAAGACTTCCGATACACGGCGTTACCGTCGGATCATCTTCACGGTGGGCGATGCTGGAGTGCGCGCACTTGTTACCGAAGACGGCAAACGAAGGGACCCTCGAGATATCGAAGTTTCCGAGAAGGAGTCTAAAGGGTCGCGCGTTGCAGGGGGTCAACAGATGTTACGACAAAGTTGAACGAGAGCCTCGTGTGTCGTCGAGAGAGCCGCGCGATATACGTTAGCCCAACTATCTGCATACTAATATACAGCAGAACAACGCACTATATAGTATATGCGATATCGGGAGACTCTGCTTCACTAAGTCGAACGGATCGTATTACTTGCAAATGAAGGCATATTAATCCTTCCGCCATCGTGATCACCGATGAACCTGCGCCTCCGTAAAGCGTATCTTCTTGATTTGTTCCGACTTAAAAAAAAGAGAGTTCAGCTTTCCGATTTACCGCGCGCACTGCATTTCCACAGACGAGAAACGATTAAAACGATCTTTTTCTCATTCCATTATATATTTCCGATAAATTCACGAAGTATTTAACGACACGATGAAATGTATGTATGTTATTTCACGATAAATCAACGTTACTTTAACGATAAAAAGAAACGTATCATGAGACATTGACGTCTCTTTGAGATTCTTCCTCGAAGCTAATCCGAGAATCTGAGATTCGCAATTTCACGGGACGCATTTCCATGAAGTTTTCTGAATCTGTCAAATTTTTCACCGTCGTGTTCCAGCGCTGAGAATGCTGGAAGAGAGACGCGGCGGATGTGAGAGGAAACGCCGCACGGTCAGAATTCCCTGAAAGACGGGAGACGGCGTAAAGAACGCGGTGCTCCGTGAGATTAAATACGTAATTACACGTTCCGTTGTGCATTGTGCACGGAAAGCCAGAGATGGCGATTTACACCGCGGCGAACAAACCCGTTTTATCCGCGGGAGCGCGGGAGACAAGTCGGCTGCGCGGAGTAAACACGTCGCTCGCGTTTCAATGCTTTACGAGGGAGAGCATCTGGAAAACGCTTCCCGACGTATTAAACGCACGGTAAAAGCTTCCGCGCGCGATTACTTGACCAGAGGGAAGACAGGGAAAGAGGAAGCGCTTTGAAATTCGACGCGGATCCGCCACGGAAAATATATGCGCGTGGTAGGAACAGCCGTGCGAACAAACAGCCGCAATCGGCCGGTCGAATCTGGTTGTTGTACCGCCGTTGTGACAAGTGATCGAAGAGCTCTGAAGGCAAATAATTCCCAATTTGCTGGATCTTCACCAAGGAGTAGCACCAAGTGCCACCGTGCGGGTGCGCCTTTAAGTTAAGTAAAAGTATCAGTGCCTGGACATGTAAACTAATCCCGGATGTTCTTATTGTTTCTATTCTTAAATATGAATATTTTAACTTTCAACATAAAATAGTATTCGATATATATGCACACTATATATATACACACTAAGAAAATACTACCGTTCAAATAATGTTTACTTGATTCAAGTAAAATGGTTAACTTCAATATTTCTTGAAAATATTTACTAGAAATAGAAATATAATGTACAATATGATACAGCTTTCGTAGAAGGTGAGCATTTATATTTATATATGTTAAAACAATTACGACACATTTCTCAATTCATAATATTGAGAATATTAGAATTTATTTTTAGAAAGTATTTACCGGATAGAAAAATATCGAAATTTAAAACGACCAGATTTCTTCAGTGGAAAAGAAATATTACATAATTTTAGTAAATATTTTCTTAAATTTAGAACTATTTTACATTTATATCCAATAATCCGTTTACAAATTGAGATATTATTGTGTTCGAATAAATATTTATTACAAATTATTCAAATATGCTTAAATTGATAACAATATTATTTGATTTAAAAGACTGAGAAACAAATAATTACGTTTACTTCATTCTAATACTTTTTTCTGCATATGTCATCTATGTTGAAATTTATAAAAACATGCATATTTTTAATATTATATATATAAATTTTATTTACTATTAATCTTACTTTTACTTTATACGTGATTACAGGTAAGCGACTCGCATCGGTTGATTAGCGATAACGACGAAGAAGAGAATTGCTGATCCCTTCGAAAGGGCATAGAAACTATGACATAGCAACACATTTCTTTTCTTTTTGCAGTCGCCTTTCCTGCGCGGCCGAGTCGACGCAACCGCGGCTTTCGATAAGGGGCTGCAAAGATCCGAAGCGAGCTAATGATGCACACGGCTTCGTGAACTCTATGAAGGAGCCGCGCACCCTTGTAAAGTTAGTCCACGGGGAGGACACGGCGTTTAAAGATGTTTTCGAAACGCTGAGCGGCGTCGAGCGTCAATCCGACCGCCGGCAAAACAACGGCGATATATATGAGGGTACTTACAGGATATAGGAAAAGCAGGACGCGAAGAGAGATGGAATCCCCATAAGAAGGGCCGATTCTAAATTTGCCGTTAATAGCGGCGCCGTGACGGATGAGCGCAGATGCATTCGACGTGCTTCGGAGGACGTGCCCTGTTTTCGAAACGTGCCGATATTCCGGCGGGGTCGTGCGACAACACTGACAAGCTTTGGATTTACTAGCCGAAGTATGTCCGGTCGATCCCTCCCCGCTCCAATTTCCCGTGCCGCTTTCACGGTTAGCCGACGACGACAAGGTCCTTGAAGCGTCTCTCATAAATCGCCGGCAATTTCGGCTGTCTTTGGCGACACGGCCGTTGGTGACCCGGCCGAACGGCATGTTAAGCGATAAAGGGTCGCGCGGATAACGATGCAAATGCTTCTCGGCGCACTGAAAAACGCGTTCAGAAATCTCCGACGCTCTTGTGCCTTTGTGTTTCAAATCGATTCGTTATTTAACGATGAAATTATCTCGTAAATTCGTAAGGCAAGTCTTCCAAGATTTTCCAAATTGTGTGTAAATTTCAGCGATGCTTTGCCGCCGAAGGTCCCTTGCTGAAAAACACACGACACGTTCAACAGTTTATCACGCATTATTGTTTCTTTGTATTTCCGATGAATTAGCGTTGTTTAACGCAATGTATTATATGTGACAAAATGTATCGTAAAGCATGCACTCTCCAAGATAATTCATCGAAGATCCCCAAAAATTCCAAGTTCATGATCTTACAAAATGGATTTTCCAGGATTTCTTTTGAAATTTGTGTAAATTTTAGCGACACTTCAGTGCTGAGAGTATCTCGCTTAGAAACGCGCGACTTATTCCAAAATTCCTCACGTTCTCTTGTTCTTTTGTATTTCTAAATAAATTAACGTCACGTAACGATGCGGCTAAATGTATTATTGTAAAGCGTACATTCTTCAAGAATTGTCAGCGAAGATGCTAAAGGTTCGAAATTCGTTTCATTTCGCAAAATAAGTGGGTTATGATTTTTTTCGAACCTGCGCAAATTTTGGCGGTGTTTCAGTGCCGAGGGTGCCTCGCTCAAAGATGCACAACAGATTGAAAAATTTCTTACACTCCCTTGTTGCTTTGTACTTCCAATAAATTAACCTCATTTAACAGTGGGACGAAATACATATAAATATCGCGAAACATTTACTCCCTCCAAGATTTCTCGATAGAAAAAATCCCGAGGATTTGAAATCTATAATTTCATAAAATGAATTTCCACGAGATTTCTTTTCGAATTTATTTAATTCTTTGCTCGAATGCCGAGGATGCCTAAAGAAACGCACCGGCAGATGTAAGCGTCAAGAAGGAAGGGCTGAGATCGCGACGTGTAGAGTTCTATGTCCTACGATTGATCTTTATATTATTGCGAAGCGCTCGCTTCTTGTCGTCCGTTTACTTGCGAACATTATCGACGTCGTGATCAAGGAGGCGATACGACGGAGGAATAGCGATTTCCCTCATGCTCATATTCGCCCCGAATGAAAACGTGCGGCGTTACCTCGCGCACGCGAAATCCGAACGATCGAGAATAGGGCCACCCCAACGATCTGATGCGACTTACGGTGAATCGCTGTCGTGTCTCGCACAAGCGTACAAGCGTGCGTCGGCTAGGAAACTGAGTTTTTACGACACCCCAGGCACTCGAGATTTCCGTTTAAGTAGGAACGCGGAGGAAGTGACACTTTCGAATGGAAGCGGCGGCGCGACAGCTGACATTTTACGTCCATTTTCCTCGGATGGCGGAGCCAAAGTGGCATCGTATCGTAAAAATGTAGGCACAACGTCTCCGACAATTTCCCCGGCGCCTCTCAAAACACGTCTTCGTCGCTGCGTGTGCGCGGATTCGGTTAACGTGTTTTGCGCGCGCGCGCGCGCGTGTGTGTGTGTGTGTGTGTGTGATACAACCTTGCAGATATAGAGGAAAAGCACTGCATCATTTTGTTTTTGGGCTTTAAAGCCTTGCTGAAGGTATAAAATTAAAAGTTATATGCAAGGATGTAAACCAGTAACACTTCTAAACCAAAATATATAATAGTCTTATGGAAATTATTAGATATTTCTTTTTCAATAATTATTTTTTTAGATGTTTGAGGATAGACGCTTCTGGAAACTACACTGTTAACTACGTATTGCCAAAGTTGGAGATACACGTTGAAATAAAAGCCCTACCTAATTACGAAGGACATTTCGAGTATGTATCTCGAATTGATAGGTATCACGAGGTATGTACCTCCAAATTTGGAAATATCCAAATTTGGAAATATCCATGATACAGGAAATTATCAATTATATTTCTCATGAGAAATTATATCGAAAAAATAAAATAAAAGCACTAAAATTACTTTATACATTTATTATATATGTCCTTACATGTTATCTTTAATCATATATATATTTCTCAAATTAAAAAAATGGTTATGTACGATGTATACACTCTTTTATTATAGAAAAATACTCCCTAATTTTTTCTTTTCGATTATCTTTAACAAACTATCTGACAAGCAAACAAACAAAACAAAACGGAGGAAAATCTGTCGCTATCACTCACTAATGGCAATCAATTACTAATAGCTTCAACTATATTTTGTGAGATCATATTCCACAGCAAACTTCAGATATGATTCGGTCAAAAGGCCAGAAAACTCAGGTATCTCTGTTTACAACGCAAGCTAATTCTAATTTTTCTTATGTGATTCACAGTGACAGAAGATTGAGATTGGCACAAGATCCAAAGTGATTTAAAAGATACAAAATTCACACTATAAAATAGCATTGAAATAAATTACTTACCGCTGAGTTGTTACTTGAATTTTCACATGAAGAAAGCTCAATGAAACTTCAGCACAACGAAAAATCAGGCGATACTAATAACACAATCGAACGCTTTTGCAAACAGAAACTACCACTTCAGCTCCAACTACCGTATATGGTAAACCAAGTTCACGCACTGTCCGACAGGGTTTAATATTTTACAACCGAGAAACATAGATATGTCGGTTTGCCACAGATACGTCAATTTTGGTGTTTTTCCTTTACATATATATACACTAAAAGAAATTTCCATCGGATAAACCCATTAAATAATGTATCCGATTATTATTTTTATTATCTGATTAAGTGATGGATATCTTTATCCGACGAAGTTACCAATGCAGTTACCGATAAAACCTAATCGGAAAATTAGTCACCCTTTGTAAATCCGTTGTAGTTTTTGTTGGATAAAGACACAACTTGATCGGATGAAGTGACGAAATAATCGGATGCATCAAAATAACGAATTGCATCGAATATATCTGTTTGTCGCTTTTTAATTGGATTATGTTTGTCCGATCATATCTGACCGGATATTGTTCTCAATATATATATATATATATATATATATATATATATAAATTAACGCTGTTAAAAATTGTTCGTAGTAGAATAAATTAGAGCGCTCTCCGCGATAAATTTGCGCGCAGATTGTCCTCGTAGTTCTCTCCCAGGACTTTTCCTTTTTCTCCGTGGTCAGAGAGTCGCAAAAATTTGACAGATGAGGGTGACCGAAGGATCAGCTTTTAGATGTTCGGACACGCGTTAAACGCTCGCGCCGATACGTCATTAATCACATGTACGATGAGTACGTAACCGCCAAGATGTAGCGTTAAAATATGTTGCCCTTAATAGCGCAGTGACGGTTAGCCGGCTGATTAATTATCCGCTGTCTGATAAATGACTCTCGGCCGCTATCTGACGGTTGCTCGTTAAAGGGAATGCGAAGAAGCGCTCGTTGAAGATACGAAAGCGGCCGGCGAGCACGTCTCGGAAACGAAGGAAAGGAAGGAACGTCGACGCGAACGCGCTCGCTCTTCTTCCGTTGCTCCTCACTTTATTGTTTCATCATTCCACATATTTACATCGTCGCGGTATAAACAAAGCTCGCTGACATATTAACGTGGTCGCTCGCTCGCTCGCTCGCTCGCAGGCACATAAAAAGTTCGGCGATTTGTTCCTGGAGGAATCGTTAAGCGAGTCAAGACACAGGCGTCCCTCGTAAAGCTTTCATGAGGCAGACAGGTCATTCGCCACATCGAAAGCTGGACTCGTAATTTCGGGCTTGGAGATGCAAAACGACGTAAACGCGGCACGACGATGGCACCTCGAATAATTAAGAAAGAGCTCTATACAAAAGAGAGAGAAAAAGAGAGTGTGTGTGTGTGTGTGTGTCTCGCGATCATAATGGTGGGAGACAGAGGAAGAAAAAATATAATAGTTACTGGAAATAAATATAATTAAAGCGTAACTGATGATTCCGGCGCTTAAGTCGTTCCGCATATCATATTTACCACGATTGACTATTGAATCGAAAGCCAGAAATACCAAGGAAGATCAATTTTCTTTAGAAATTCACATCGAACGTATGAATACGTTCGTTCCTTTCGAACGTAGTAATATGTTGAAATACACATGTTTAAATACATAATTTATTCGACGATCATAAAATCAAGTAGATTCGAATGATCCGAGAGCGAAAAACAAATAACGAAACACTATCATTCTTGATTAATTTTAACTATCGTCATTACATTGACATAAACGTTTCACTCGAAAGTTTCGCTTTAACTTTGTCCGCTCGGACATTTGGAAAGCGACAATTGCAAAATCGCAAGGCACGATAACATCGTGCAAAATTTCCACATTGGCAGAATCGATTTCAAATTTGTTTAAAAATACAATCTCTCGCCGCGGATTTTCATCTTCCCCCGCCCGCTTACCTACAATATCTTAAGCTTCGCTCGCAGAGGTTTATCTCTGAAAATATTTTCCTTTGGTATAGACAAAATATTTGACTATTTCACGGCACTTCCAATATCTCGCATAGATTTGTCGACAACGAAATCGGAAACCTATCTGCATACCTCCGGCGAATATTCCGCGCTTGTTAATCGCCTGCGACATCCATAATTCTCGCTTCGATAAAAATTCCCACGAATATGTCCGGCATACCGATATCAGAATATACACGAAGTTTCAGAAGTCACGCGCTTCTCTCTTTGGACTAGAAATTCTTCGGATTTACAGTCGACTCCCCCCTCCGTGTTTTCTTCAAGATTGAACAAACAACCATTGTTTGCCGGCGCGAAATTATTTTTAAATCATGGTAAAAATCCTCGGAAGAAATATCTCCGGAGGGGCTAACTGGAATACGCGAGATTTCATTTCAAGATTAATTTCTATTCGCGCTCCGGAAACTCGATTCGCCCCTCGAGGCATTTAATTATGAATTTTAGATATTCGCGTAATTATCGACTTAACCACCATCGAGATGTGGCAGTTATTCACCTCGAGTTGCTCATTTCCGCGGGTGGATCAATAAAAGTACACTTTCGACAATTTCTGAAACGCGCTGTGCTACGACAGCGGGTCACTCTGCACGAGAATAACCGAGTCTTTTTGACCGTACTTGTGCGCTCACTCGAGATACCCTAAAGCGGGCACGTCGTGAGTTGTCGTCGTGTGAGAGCTAAGAGAAAAACGGGGGTCCTTCCGAGAGAATTAAATATCGATACCGTGCCGGCCTCAATGATGCGTCGAGTAGTGACTGTCGGCGGACGGCTGCAGCGGCCCGTTGATGCTCTGCACGATCATATTGAGACAATCCAAACTGCTGCCGTTGTTTTGCGAAGACAACGCCTCGGTCTGCTCGAAACCTGAAACACCGAGAATACCACGGACGATGAGAAATAATTGAACAGAGAGCAACGGCAACACAAAGTCTCTCTCTCTCTTCAATTTTGATATTAATGCACAGCAAAAATTAGTCTCAAATCAATGATAAATATTTGTATATGTAAACAAGAATATTATAATATTCTTAGAAGATTTTTAATCTTGAATTAAGTACAAGTAATCCTCGCATTAATACAATTAAATCAAGGCGAAAAATCTTTTAAGCAGATTACAATATTCTTGTTTATATATAAGAATATCTATCATTGATTCACAAGAACTAATTTTTTTCCGTATGCGTCTCGCCTATTCTTAAAATATACTTAATGCGATTCAAATCGTTATGTTTACATATTATTATTATTATTAATATTATTTTGTACGTATCATATCACCCTGCGCTTTACTGAACAAACATTGTTGCGATTTAGCCTCTATAATTTCTTTATATAGCACTTGAGAGAGAATCTTCCCACAGCGCTGAATAAATAATACTACCTCTCTCTTTCTCTCTCTTTCTCGCTCTCTCTCTCCGCGAACGAGAGTAGGCAGAATCAAATTTCATTTTCGTGCGGTAGTGCGTTTAACGCGGCGAGATCGGCACGATTCCAGAGCAAACTGCGAACACGAGCGCAATGCGCGAAGTACAAACTACGTTTAAGCAAACTTTAGGTGCTCTTTGACCGTCGCTTTCGTCGCCGTGTGTATCCAGATACGGATGAATTGCAAGCCGACTCCCAAACGGGAGAGCCGACGCGCGCCTTCTCTCTCTCTCTCTCTCTCTCCTTCTCCCTCTTTCTCCATTTTTCGTTGTCCTTCGCTCGCGGAGAAAGCATTTGCATAAGTTATGTACTGAGACTTAAGGGCTTTGAAGCCGTTATTCTTGGCACCGGCCGAACACGCGCGCCTCCGTCTTTCCGTCTTAAACTCGGCCCGAGTATTTTTCGCCCACCTTCGTGGAAGCTACGCGCGTCCTCGTGAAAGCCGATGCTACGCTCTTTCCGGACAATCGGATAATTATATACGCGTAAAATTATATCCGTCGAAGGGAGAAACACCCAGAGGAAAAGAAAACGAGAAAAGTTCCTAAAGAAACAACGGTGCTCCCAGAGCTTGTTTTCACTCGCGTGAGAAACGAGCGGATGTATCGTCGCGAAGTAACATCGTGCAATTAGCATCGACGAACTCGCCCGCGTTAAATTCCCTCTGATTTACGCGCGTACAATAAACCACGCGCATGTTTGCAAATGCATCGGAACGAATAAATCGCGAGAGAGGTTTCAGTCGCGCGCGCACACGATATCTTCACGTGGGCGGAACACGTCGATCATCGTTGACGAGAAATAACTATCAGAATCGAGAATATGAAAATTTGCGCACAGAAGATATCGGTTGTATCTAAATATATGGAGTGAGGCAATAAATATCGCCTTGAATATCTTTGAAGCAAAAAACAAAGGCAACCTTCAGATCTGCGAAGCCACCCCACTCAGAATAAAAAAAAAAACGTTACCGTCGTGGGACGATTTTTTTCTGGATGAAACAGCCTTGAAGATTCGAAGGCCATCTTTATTTTTTGCTTCGAAGATATTCAAGGTAATAATAGTTATTTCCAAGCCCTCTATAGAAGGAAACGTCGAAAGTAGAAGAAAAATGACGTAAGTGTGATATGATGAACATAAACTGACATAAATATGATAAACCGTCATACTCATGTTTCTCGGCTGTAAAGTAATGAACTCTGTCAGCCAGAACATGAACTTTGTTTACTGTGTACAGCAGTTGAAGTGGCAGTTTCTGTTTACAAGCGCATTCGTTCGGTTGTGTTATTGATTATGTTATATTACATCGTGTGACTTTTCGTTGTGCTGAAATTTTTGTAGATCTATTTTCTCGTTAAAAGGAACACATCAGCGGTATTAATTTATTTGACAACGTTTCATAATACATATAAATTTTGTTTTATAGTATATATATATTGTTCTATAGTATACATAAATGTTGAACGTTTTAAATTACTTTGAACCTTGTGTCAATCTTTATCTTCTGTCATTGGACCAAACAAGAAAGGTTAGGATAAGTTGTTCTGTAAACCGACATACCTGAACTTCGTTGTGAAATAGCATTTCACACAATACAGTTCAAGTTACTGGTGACTGATTTTTCCCTGTTTTCTTGTTTGTTTGTTTAAAATAACCGGAAAAAAGCTGTCAGGGATCTCTTTTCACATAATAAAGAAGCAATATATATTGCAAAATTGTTATAGTTTAAAAGAATATATAAAATTAAATATAAAACATAAAGATATATAATAAATGTACAAAATAATGTAATTTCAGTGCTATTACTTTATTTTTTATTTTATTTTTTTAACAATTTCTTATAGACATCATGAGTATGCCAGTTTCTGGAAGGGTCAGTCCTCAAATATTTGAAAAAATAGTTATTTGTAAAGAAATATGTAATAATTCTCATAAGACTATCAGATATTTTGGTCGAGAAGCGTTACTGGTTTGCACATTTATATAAATTTAAATTTATATCTTCAAGAAAACTTTAGAACCTAAAAACGAAATGGTATGTCGGTTTTGGTGCTTTTCCATATATATATATATATACCCCATATATACCCGGACGTAATATTTAACGTCGTTCTGCAATCTAACGATTCGAATGTAGCAAACCGACGTGGGATCTCGACAGCGAATTATCGGGCGCGTCGATGACTAATTAGCCACCCACGTTTACCAGCGTCTGCGGACGTGTCGCTGGCACGAAAATACGGATGAAGATACACCCGGGGAGCGTAATCGCGAGAACGAGAGCGCTACGAAACTAATAATATTAGTTGGAACGATAAATGCGCACCGACACGCGCCGATGAACGCGAAACGAAAACAAGTAAATATGACCTACTCTTTTCGCACTTTCCACTTGTCGTCTTTCACACAGCGCATTACGAACACGGCTTTTTCGCAGTCGTGGAAACTGCAAATTTCTAGTAGACACGTTCATTTAACGGAAACGGTCCGGAAATAGCGATAATCCGTAAGCAACAAACGATCGGGAACAGCGACACACGACGAGACTTTCCTGACTGAGACAATCTTCAGGGAGGAGAATTGCTAACGAAACTTTCATCTTTATTGAATTTCAAATGGAGACCGTTTTAACAGTATTTTAATTAGAATTTAATTAAAAGCTTAGTTACTAAAGCATCGAATATCAGGAATTATGTATAGACTTACGAGGAAAGCTGAGAAAAGAATCTCTGATCAAACACCTACTAAAGAAAAATCGTTCTTCCACGAAGACCGAGCGTGAATAAATCTTCGGAAAACCGCCCACTCGCTCGCTCCTCGTATACAACCTGCACGATAAATATTACACAGACGCGATTCTTCGTAAATTTGGTAAAAATTGCTATTCGACAATCGATTTCTGTCCGCATAATACTTTCAAAAAGGCATGTTATCTCATTATCGCATATTTTTCACGATGCCAATTGGCTATCTTGATCTCGACGCAAGTCGTTTACTTGGACAATGTCCACTTATGTCCGCTCACTTGGCGACTGTCATTGTGAAGATTATACATTTTAACAGTTCGAGTGAGACATGGAAGAATAAAATACTATAAAATAATATACTAGGTGAAGCCACAACACTATTGAATATCTTCGGAAAATAAAAATATTTTATTATCGATTAAATGAAGATGAAAGAAAGTTGCATTTGCCGAAGGTGTTCGAAGCGACGATCATTATTAATCAATGTAATTTCCGTTAAATAAATTTTTCTCTCCAACTTTCATATTTCGAAGATATCTAGAGTGGTAATAGTTATCGCCTTACTCTGTATAATGTTAGTATTACTGTGTATGGAAAATATGAAAATTTTAAATTGATAAAGCAACCTGATACTCTCGAGCACGTTTCACCAGCTCAGTCAAAAAGTCACGTGGCTTCGAGAACAATGATATACGTACGTAAGCAAATATCCTAGCAGTCCTTGACACGAAGGCAAACAAAACTTGCGCTTGATTCCGGAATTTTTTTTCAAGTCGATTGAAACATGTAATTTTATTTCGCATACTAAGTTATCATGCTCGGATCGTTTTCGCACCCTCGAATTTCGACGGTAGTCGCAAATTTTTATCATCAAAATTTCTTTTCTTTTGAAAGAAATATGTTCAAACATCTGTGTCCGTGATACGTTGAGGTCCGCCGATACAACTAATCGAAAAACTTGCTTTTTGTTTCAGATCCGGCGGAGTTTGTGACCACACTGTGGATGCGGTTCCCGGGAGATGCAGTTTCGATGGATGCGAATACTGTACCGGAAGATCCGATTTGGGCCGGGCAGGGTCGGCTCGAAGGTAGGTTTATAGATTTTTCACACTCTAACATTTAACCTCTTGCGATCGACAAACTGGGACATAGTTGTCGAAGTAAAAATCGTTGAGTTATAACGAGCGCAAAAGGTTAACATACTCGTCTCCCCGCGCATTTTCCGTCTGATTAAGCCATTAACACTTTGAAGCCTTGACCTTAAAGATGATTGATTAATGGGATCCTGGACAATTTTGATGTTCAGAAAAAGGGGGATAGATATCCGATGTTCTATGAAACATTTGGAACGACTGAAATCCGAGAATAAGCCGACAGCAGAAACGTATGGAATTAAATTGCCAGGCTCGAGTTATACTCGGGCTTAGGACAAAGAGTGTTAGCCATCGTATCTAATCAACGATGTGATATTTTTTGCTTCAGATCTGTAGCAGAATGTGCCTTCGATCTTGAGAGTCCCAAGTATTTCGGTCAGATGCAAAGATGCAAATTAGTGGATCTGTCAGTGATTGATGTTCATAAGAAATCAATGCGATTCACTTGTAGACTTAGCTTGTGTGCGTGCATGTACTGAGAAAAAATTAATTTTCTTACAAATCACAGTCATTGACGGCGTCAATCATACTTTTTATTATACTGATGAAAAAGTAGTAATGAGATATTTTTATCGGTAATATAATGACATTTATTACAAAAATAGATTTCCCGACTATAATTATCTGTACCACTATTAACCACTATGCAAATACAGTAACAAGTATTAATCACTTCTCTCTCAGTATAAAGTTACACGTGTACATTTGTGCCGTCCACTGAAATGCTTGAAAAACAATCAGGGGGATCGCTTCTTTAAATAAACTTCTTATTTATCAAATATTAAAATATCAAAAATTTCGCTCTCAAAGATATTGATTCTTAATCATTATTTTTCCAATTCATTCAATGCGAGCCCTCAATTGTCGCTCAAACGATATAAAATAAACATCCGAATTGCGTATCAGAATCGCGCCGCCAAACCGCGAAATTCGCAATTACGTGCTTTGCCCGCGATGAATTTTGCAATCGTCGCGATCTCCAATTTCCGAAATTTTTCACTCGTGACGCGTTATAACTCGTCACTTCGATCGAAATGAAAGTTGGAATATAAAGTCAGAGTCAAAAGCAAGAATTCTCGCGAAACAGGGGTTTCGTTTCTCTAACGTTTTTTTTTTTAAATATAGATATCCGGAAGATGGAATATGTTTCTATTATTATCTATCTCGATCCTGTCGAAAGCCGTGATGTTCGATTCGCGATTGTTTACGCACGATTCACGACTCGGGGGTCGTACATTCTCAAAGCACTGGAATCGGGTGCTATCCGTTAAATCACTAAGTGCCGTCGAAACGATCACAGTTCACAAGTGCGGTCAAGTGCGATCGATGGCGGGAACAAGGACAGGGACGCTACGGAGGCTGGACACGCTGAGGACCTGCGACCAGAACAACTGGACATCGCCGGATATCAACGCGAAATGGTGAGAACGCACAATCACGGCGCTAACAAAACGTCGTATCACGCAGCGCATGCAGCATTCAGACATAAATCGCACTGACAACTAATGGGAAGAACGGTGCATAGGTGTTGTGCATTGTCATAATAAAAAATTACTTAAGAAAGACTTAAGGATCTATGGTGCGCGGTAGCACACCGGTTCGCATCCAAGAAAAGAGCCGTTAGAGACGAAGCGGCCATAAATATTCATAGTCCTAAGATGCTAAGATGATGAAAATGCTAAGAGGATTTTACGTGCTCTGCGCTTAGCGCCTGATAATATGGAAATCCTGAAAACCGTGGGGCGACAATGGTAACAGCGACTTGAAGTCCCGCGGATGAGACGTTAGCAAATTAACGTGCGTTGGTGAAAAAAAAAAAAAAAAAGAAAAAAGAAACGAACGGTAATTTACGACTCTCTGGCGTTAAAGCTCCTGAAATCCTCGCAAATCACTTTTCTCGCTCGCGCTTTGAACACCAAAGGGGGAAAGGAAGGGGACGTGTCCCGTGTTCTCTCAGTCGCAATTTAGCGAGCCAGAGGAGAGAGTTTCGCTTATGCGCAGAAATGAGCGCGTGAGTGGCCGCAGCGAGCATCAATCACGATCGAAACGATTGTTTGGCAAGAGCCGGCTATTTATTTATAAATCACCGCGGGACGTATGATACCCGCTGTCATACTTCCGCGGATGATATACCGTCCAGGTTGCTTGCCAGATGCGTTCGGTGTACCGCGCAATCACGACATCGAATAGTTTTCGACGGTGGCGTAAATTATTTACGGGGCCGACGAGCCGTGCTAGCACACCGCGATGTGATTCTCGGCGTATAGACAGCCAGATGCCCGACGGACAGACACTCTTCTTCCGGTATTTATAACATTCGTTAATAAAGAATAGAGACGCGCGTGTGTGTCGCGCAATCGAGCGCCGGTCGGAAATTCTGAAGAATCGTTCTTCGACTTCCCGCGTGTTCCGCGAACCACTTTGCTAAATAATCGAGTGACCCAATCGCGGTGGAGGTGATGATAAAATGCAATTATCTCCACGAGACTGCCAAATTATGAAACTTAATTCGAAGAATCAGATAGACGAACTTATATTTGTGAGATCGTTAGGATAATTCTTATTAGCAATAGGACGAAATTGCTCCAATTGCGAAAATGCAGTTTCGAAAGAACGTAAATATGTTGTGGGGACTTTGAATTTTAAGGAGCAAATTGGTGAGTTTATATTTAAGAAATTGTTAGATTTGAATAATAGTCGGGATAATTTTTAGCAGTAGTAAGATCCGTATTCTGAGCTCACCTTTATTGATAAAATGCGTGTCTAAAAGTGTCTTAGAAATCACCTGATTGGCTGTACAGTTTACAATTTACATATTTAAAGCGCCTTCGTCGATAAAAGAGAGTTCAAAATATAAGTCAAAAACCAAAGTTTTTCTAATTACGAAAATGCAATTTTTCAAGGAACGTAAATAGATTGAGGCGATAACTTTAAGAGAATCAGATTAATGAATTTATATTTAAGAAATCCTGTTAGAGATTCGAGTCGGAACAATTTTTATCAGGGTGAAAATTGTCCTCATTACGAAAATGCAATTTCGGAAGAACGTGAACGTGATACGTTGGAGCGAATCGACGATAGACGTCGAGAGAGACGCGAGCGCGCGCGCGACAATCGACAATCAAGTTAGCCTTCTTCCGATGGGATAAGCGAAATTGGATCGACGGTAGGCACCCAATATTTCTCAATTATTCCGACGGTGATATATCCGAGGCACTTACTCCATACCCGTGCCGAGGTGCTCTAATCGACTCGATAAATCGGTGGATTAAGTCGTAATGCCTCGTAACGTTAGGTAAGAGTGACGAAAATAACCGGACTTACGGACGGGACGCGCGAAGGATATGTATCTGAAAACGCAACGTGTTTATAGTTGATACACCGACGGAGGCAGGCGTGTGTATGTGTGCGTATCAAATCGGTGAAACTTACCGGAGTGACACTCGACGCGCGTTGCCGACTCGTTGCTGCTGCACTATCGAGAAAATAAATGTCGAGCACATTCTTCGCAGCCTCTCGATGTAAGATCGCGACATATATGTGTATCGTTATCTCTGCACAGCAACGATTGAACCGTCCGTAGAGGTGTAACGTCGTGTAAAGCGTCTCAGAAGTGGAACGGAGTTTCAGTTCGTGACATGGAGAGAGAGAGAGAGGGAGAAAGAGATAGAGAAATCATTCACACTGTTCTCCCTGTTGTGCAGTTCGCGCTATGTATGCCATGTACACCGACCTTTAAAACGAAAGTTATACAATTTTCAGCCTTTCACGTATGCGCGTAACGTCAGAACGTCATAGATTATTTAACTCGAATAATTTATTTGATAATGGTATTTTATAGTGTGAATTTTAAACTTTTTTAATCATCTTTGGATGTTGCGCCAATCTCTATCCTCTGTCACTGAACTATGCGGGAAAAGTTAGGGTTAGGTTGTTTTGCAAGCCGGTATACCTAAGTTTACTAGTCTTGCAACCGACGTACCCGAGCTTTGCTGAGAGATATTATTTCACAGAATACAATTCAAGTTACTGATAACTGATTTTCCCTTGTTTTTCTTGTTTGCTCGTTCAAGACAGTCGAGTAGAAGAACTTAGGGGATTCCTTTTCACAAGGACAAATATACCGTTTTTAAAGGTTTGCAATCTTCAAAGCTTTAAAAATATGTAAGATTAAAAAGAATATTCAAAGACACATAATAAATGCACGAAATAATGCAATTTCAGTTCCTTCTCTTATTTTATTATATTTTTTTATCATTTCTTTGAGGTATTATGGATACGGATTGGTTTTGGAACCTAGTTTCTAGAAGCGTCAATCCTGAGATATCTTAAAAAATTCTTTTCGAGGAAATATGGAATAATTTCCGTAAGACTTTTAAATATTTTGGTAGAGAAGTGCTGCTGGTTTGCATTCGTGAATTATGATTTTTAATTTTACACCTTCAACAGAACTTTAGAACTCAAAAACAACATGTTATCTCGGTTTGGATGCTCTCCCTCTACGTCATACATGAGTACTGACTATATTTAGACGAATAAGATAAAAAAATATCAATGCCCAACCCTGGACATTGTTTTGATTTCTTCAAACGTACATTTGAAATTTCCACATATATATAATAACAATAATAATAAATACACATGTATTCTATGTTGTTATAGCTGAAATATTCGTGAACGATAAGAATGTCCAGGTTTAGGCGGATGTCCACGTAGACCTTTTGATACTATCGTCTAAATCGGGGATGTCTCCTAGGCGTAAGTACAATCGCAGATTCATACGGCGTCAGTGATTTTGTTCCTCCCGACACCGGGCGCACACAGCTCGCGAGGACACCTCGCGCTAATTGATCTTCTTTCGTCCGACCGGTCGCTGTGTGTGTATCGTCGAGATGGGTTGTGCTGCATCCACGTGGGGATAATTTCGGGTGCGAAGGCTAAACGCCGGTCGACTTTCTTTTGGGAAAAATGTAATCCAGCCGGGGTAACGCTGCGAACAGGGCGCGCGCACGCATGAGAACTTAGAGCGTCTCTTGTCTCTCGGGAAGCTCCGAGTCACCGATGCGTTTCTCGCTAATGAGCGGGAATCAAAGGTTCGTTGTGCCGTTGGAGGAGGTCCGCGCGGGCGCGAGCTCGGATTCAGCAAATCGTCTAGGACGCGTCTTTGAAGATGGAAACGCAATTAAGTCGTCTCAATTAACTCGTTGTTCTAAGCATCCGGTGTGTTCTAAATGGGGGATCCCGCGTACCTCGGAGGGCTCGGTGCGCAAGATCGGTCCGCGCGTATCGATCACGTGCGAGGAGGCGTCGTCTGCCGGTGTGGACGTTTGAATTAGAGCCCGTTTTTCCCCCGAACGACGACACCGCGCGAAAATTGTATCGACACCGCGTGGCCATTAATCGCGAGCGGACGGACGGATGACGGACGGATCCCTGGGCGTGTAAAACGCGTCGAGGGGCAGCCATGAGCGAAAGGCGCGCTAGAAAGGAAAAGGCGCGCGTTTCATCGTTTATTCTTTTATTCCTTTATTGACGGCGCGAGGGAGATGACGTTTTCCGGATACATTAGCGGATTCCTGGTGCAGCGGAGTATGTACCTTGGCTGCGGTTTCTGGTCCGCGCTTAAATTCGCGTT